CTCAGCTTCAATCACATGATTTCCTGGTCTTTGTGACATGGACCCGCAGAGTATCCCAGTCCTAGTCAGGTCGGCACGCCCCTAGGAACTGAGAAGCCCCCATGTATATTCTTATATAGCCCAACTATACTGAACCGCAAAAGAAACGTCACCATGGATAGATATATGAGAAACCTTATTTGTCCAAACACTGTAAACATACTTCGAGACATATTAAAAAAGATGAAACTTGGCAACCTGATCATCAAGGTTGAAATAAAAGTGTCAAATGTTCTTAAAGTCAAACACAACACTAGTCTGTGAGAAAATGGCAAGTCAGTATCTCGTGTGTCCGCCATGTGCTTTGATGACTGTCGTGCAACGTCGATACATGGAATGGATGAGGCGGTTGATGAAGGCCATAGGCACTTGAGCCACAACTACGAGGAACGCCTGACGCAGTTCAGCTGCAGTTGTCGACCTTGGTCGGACGTCATTCAGCCGTCTTTGAATCTCGCCCCACAGGTGCTCAGTGGGATTTAAATTGGGTTTGAAGGCAGGCCACTGCATTGTTCTGATGCCATTCTGCTGGAGGAAGTCTCTTATTGCCCTCGCAGTGTGGGTACGGGTGTTATCATGCTGAAACTCGTGGTTGCGGCGACGTGCCAAATGAGGTATGGCGTGTGGTCTCAAGACTTGATCAATGTACCGAGCTGCTGTAACACCATTGCCTCACCATGGACCGATGTTCTGGGAGACCACAGGGCCGACCCTCTATGCAAGACCACTTCCACCCCACACCATGATGCTCGGACCATCCCACGAGTCTCTCTCAACAACACAAACATCCGAATTATGTTCCCCATGGCGTCGCCAGACTCTTCCATCTGCTGTTGAAACATAGTAACGGCTCTGAGAAGGGGACTCTTTTCCACTGTTGGTGGCGCCAATGCTGGTCCTGTGTTGCCCTCTGAAGACGGTCCCGGCGATCACGTGGTGTCAGAATTGGTCCTCGGTGTGGCCTGTGCCAGTGGAGGTGTATGCTCGTCAATCGTCGAAGCAGGGTGTCCTCACTAATGTGTCGCTGGTCCCATGGTCTGTCGAGCAGTTTCCGCAGCAGTAACAAAGCGATCGGGAAGATGCTGTCGCACAATCTGACGATCCTGACGTCGGGTGGTGACCCTTGGTCTTCCACTACGTGGTCGGTCATCTGTAGTGTTGGTGGTCTGGTACCGTTGCTGGAGCCTGTATATGGTCCTTACGTGGACTTGAAATGCATTGGCTGCTTGCCGGCCGGTTTGTCCACCTTGCAATCGTCCAAGGGCTTGGTGTCGCTGATTTCTTGTCAATCTTGGCATGTGGTAGCAATTCAATAACGAATGAATGTTATCTGATCTGGGTGGATTTTTATAGGGCAAGAGATGGGGGAACGCATGAGCATTTCAATTTGCACGGAACTCACGTGCATCGGCTTACGATGGCCGTTGCCGTGATGCGTTTGGGCGATTGGTATTATTGTCATCTGCTTTGTTTTTTCCGGTGATTTTAAATTTTAGAAACTTTGACAAAAAATACCCATATATTTAAATGAGAACTTTTCATGCAATTCTACTTGGGGTGACGTTTCTTTTGAGGTTCAGCATATATGTAATAAATCATATTGTTTCTACTCTATGTTTTCTTGTTTTTGCACAAATTTGGAAATTTATGTTTTTGTTTGTGCAGGGTTAACTATACCAAATTACTGCATGAATTGTATTATCAAGCGGGCCTCACGTTCCACTAGCTCACCTTCCTTATGTATCTGTGGCAATGTGCTCATATAACTTACACTGACTTCCGGTAATCTGGCTCCAAGTTTTTATCGCAGTCCTCTCAACAATGTTATTTATCACCCCTGTCACATTATATGTTTTTCATTCCAGTATTACTCGCATGTAATCAATTAATCTAAATGTTAATATCTGTGTAATAATTACTAGTTTTTCATAATAGCCTTTATTACCAAGCATGCCACGAGTTTATTGTCTTAGCAGCCTCGTTTCAGATTTCAGATTTACATCACTGGTTTCGCAGTTGGGCTTCACATCTATTTAATTTTTACTTATATTTTGTACCCTGGCGTTTCAAGCCAATTCATGCCTACATGCTAGCATTTCATGGCGTGTGGATCCCCAACAATTCCATTTATAACTAGCCTTGATTATCCGCATAAACACAAGTACTATGGATACTATGTTGAGCATTACCAAATGATATCAGTACGCCTTTCAGTGGGGTATTACAATGTGGTGTCATCAGCAAGCAAAACTGTAGGAAGCGCCATACCCTTTATACGAATACCACTTTGTTCTTGTCTCTTCTTGGGCTGTAATAAGATTATTGATAACAACGAGCAAAACGGTGATGACTCGTGCTTTGAGGACATTTTGTTTTTATAAACTGCGGTCAATTGTAATAAAGCGGTGAACTGTACCTGCACCGTGATAAATTGTAATTGTTAAATTCTGTAATTTGTACAAAATTAAACTGGGGTAAACTGTAATGACCCCAAACCTACATTGGAATAAAATATTATTCTATGCTCCTACACAAGGAAGGCGACTGTGCTTGTCGTAAGAGGCGACTAACGGGATCGGGTGGTCAGGCTCACTGACTTTGTTGATGCATGTCATCGTGTCACAACTGCATGGATCGATGCTCATGATGTCAATCACTGGATTGTCTGGCCCAGACTCAATTATTTACAGACCGCCGTCATATAGCTGGAATATTGCTGAATTCGGCGTTAAACAACAAACAAACAAACAAAAAAAGAACGAAAAGAATGAATGATTCCCTATTATCAGTTCTTATCCGATATCAAATGAATTAGTTTTGTATTGAAATATAGTTTTAATGTATTTGACAAATTTCAAATAAGAGATTGTTACTTGTAATGACTCACATTTTTACTGAATTTGACATGTCGCTTGTCAACATAATTAGTGATGTTATACTATACTTTGACCGTCCCATGATGTTTTCACACATCTTTGCTTACTTCAATGGATTGGGTGTTCAGGCTGGGCTCGGCGTGGATCATCGCTCTTATATCATCACTGGATTGTCTGATCCAGATTCAATTATTAACAGGCCACCGTCATACGGCAGGGATATTGCTGAGTGCGGCGTTAGGCAACAAACAAATATTTACTTTGTAATTAAAATAGGTACGAGTGTTACCAGCAGAGCAGAACACAGTGTCATCGCTGATATTCAGGATTGATATAATTTTCATTACCAATTTACGCTTTTCGCTCCACGGAGTCTGTTTCTGGAGATACCGGGGACTGATTACAATGTGTCGCCGACGTTTCCAATTTGGATATATTGGGATCTCTATGTAAATAAAGCGACCAAACCCTTTCCAGTAGAAATCTCTGCATAAAGCAGAGTCGATTGTACAATTCCGACTATAGCATGTGTTTATGAATCACTATCAAATAGTAATGATATCAGGTGTTCGCGAAAAGGTGAGCGTATCCTGCCCCACCGGTGGCACCCATCACAAACACATGCAAAAGCAAGTCAATTGTTCACCTGAAAAACAACAACATAGGCACATATGGTGCAAGTCAAAATAGGGAATTGCATCGGACATCAATTTTGTCACTGATGCGTCAAATGTCCTCCACATGTCTACCATAAAAGTTTTTGAAAGCTTTATCGAGACCTTGATCAAACAACCTCTGAGCAAGAGTCGTATGACGATCTTTGAAATGAATCATTTTCCTCCATTTCCTTATCTCCTCCATACTGATAGCATGTTTGGCATGTGGCATCGGTCTCCATTGTGTTAAGAAGCAATGCATCCGTGTATATTTCTACATTGCTGTCATTATGGCTCAGGTCTCCATTGTGTTAAGAAGCAATGCATCCGTGTATATTTCTACATTGCTGTCATTGTGGCTTCAGTCTCCACTGTGTTAAGAAGCAATGAATCCGTGTATATTTCTACCTTGCTGTCATTGTGGCTTCGGTCTCCACTGTGTTAAGAAGCAATGAATCCGTGTATATTTTAACATCGCTGTCATTCCGGCTTCGGTCTTCACTGTGTTAAGAAGCAATAAATCCGTGTATATTTCTACATTGCTTTCATTGTGGCTCAGGTCTCCATTGTGTTAAGAAGCAATAAATCCGTGTATATTTCTACATTGCTTTCATTGTGGCTCAGGTCTCCATTGTGTTAAGAAGCAATGAATCCGTGTATATTTATTTATTGCTGTCATTGTGGCTTCGGTCTCCATTGTGTTAAGAAGCAATGAATCCGTGTATATTTATTCATTGCTGTCATTCACAACAGGAGCAGTTGAGGCAATCTGTCGTACACTGCTGCTACGTAAATTATATTAATTCTTTCATTTGTTCTGAACATAGCTGGTGGTGAACTCCAACATTTGCTGGAAAAGAAGGAAACCAAGTAGAATGTACTATACTATGTACACCACAATCAAATGATGTTTACGACCAAATCTAATTTTAAAGTTTATATTTTCTTTTGCTCGACAGATTCTATAAACTATGTATAGTTATAACCGAAGTTTACCTGAAGTAATAAAACCTGTACCATCCTTACATCTCCTTATTCGTAACAAACCTCGAGGAGATGTGATCCGTGAAGATCCGGGTAGAGAATAGGTCTTCTGCAACCCATGCGTAAGAGGTGACTATGCTTGTCGTAAGAGGCGACTAACGGGATCAGCTGGTCAGGCTCGCTGACTTGGTTGATACATGTCATCGCATCCCAATTGCGTAGATCGATTCTAGTGATGTCAATCTGGTCTGGTCCAAACTCGATTATTCACAGACCGCCGTCATATAGCTTGACCATTGCTGAGTGCGGCGTTAAACAACAAACAAACAATCGAGTAAATGTCTTCATTCATATGTATTAAAGATGCATTATAAAATTTCAGACTATATTAACAGTATATACTGTTTGGTACGTATCTTTGACCGTCTATATTTTTCTCTCGTAGTGATACAGACAGGAGGATTCCTCGTCGACGATGTCGCAATAACTATAGGTAATAACAAACCACAAACTACCGAGGACCCAGGCATCAAGGTGACGATGGCGAGCGCAGCACAGTTACCGATGGGTAACCTGACAGGATGGCACACCTGTACAGCTGGCGAAACTCAAGAAGCTCTTGATCTCAGTGGTCTTACCGCTGGTGGCGAGGTAGCTATTCCGTGTGTTTGCGACACTCAAACCAACAAAACCGTCACCGTCAATGTGAGTACAGAACTGAACTCCACCCAAGAAACGTTCGAGATCTATTGCTGGGACATGCTAAACATAACTATTACCCTAGATAAGGACCTACAACCCACGAATGAAGTCATACCATTTAATATTAAAAATGTTCCCAATTATGGAATTCAGTGGAATATTGATGCATGCGAGAATAACACACTCACAAGTACTGCAGCATCAAATTATGGCAGCCGTTACTCAGCTAACCCTGTGGATCTAAGCAGCATCACCTACACACAACCTGGGAGCTGCACTCTTCATGCAACATTCTGGAACGAGTTGTACAGGAAGGATGTTGAGCTAACCTTCGAACTGGGTGTAGGAGTGGCGGATCTTACAGTTGTACCAAGCGCACGGGATCTGCTGATAGGAGAAACATTTACTTTGACGGTTAATGCAACAGGCCCCAACATCTCTTGGGTGGTGACCTTCTTCAATGCAACGATACTGCAGGAGGGTTCCGCGGGAGTATTTGCTGAACAGAATGCATCAACTACAGGCGTATACACCTTTGGAATCATCGCATCTAACAGGGTCAACAACAAGAGCAAGTCATTTGATATTTCAGTTGTACATCCAATTAATGGCTACAACGTTACAGTGACACCACCCACAATCCAATCCAATGAGAACTTGGAAATCAACGTGGCTCTTGATGCGTTGGCAAACATACCGATGGGAACTCTAGAAATTACAATATCACCTTGTGGTAACGCGGAGTTCAGAGATGTATTGCCTGTCTCGGCTGGTGCTACGAATAAATTCAACTGCAAGTTCATAAAACAAGGTAACTACTCTATTGATGTTACAATATCATCTGCAGTTTCTTCAGAAAACTTTACATTCGAAGCTGTTGTCTGTGACAACTTGACAATAACCATCGATGTAGACAAGACTGCCTGGGCTGTTGGAGAGCCGGTGATTGTCAACATGAACACTTTACCCACGTCAGGCTTCAAATATAGAGTTGATATGGGTGATGGTACGAGTATCCACTCAAATGAGGCAGATTCAGTGTTGGTCAGTTTGAATACCTTCACTGCAATCCCAGCGCAGTTGTACAACACTCCAGGAACATACACGGTTAGCCTTTATGCATATAACCAGTGCTACTCTGTATCTTCATCTGTAGTTCTTGTTGTTGAATATAAGATCCCTCCTTGCAACTTAGTGATCGTACCAAACCGAAAAATAATGACACCGGATGACACAACAACCTTTTCATTTGTGACACAATCAGGAACAACAGCTGACAACCCAACTAATGTTACATGTACATGGAATCTGGGTGATGGGACACCTGTGACTGATCAACTCACTGAAATGGATTTCAGTTCACGTTCAACGGGCTACGTCATAACACACGACTACACTACTGCAGAGGGAACTGTGAACTACCAGATAAATTGTGAGAATCGTGTCAGCAATGCACGCTTTAACGCGACTGTTGACGTGGTGATTGTGCGGGCAGCAGACTTTTCTGTTACCTTTGAACCTGTTACACCCTTGCCTGAAGGAACATGCACTAATTTTGATTTCAAACTTTCCTTTCATGATATACCAAAAGTGCCCAATGATGTGAATTACACTGTGAATTATGCCGATGGTGATGAGGTAATAGAAAAAGTTCTTTCTGTATATGCTGTGTCAAAGAAACTTTGTAAAAGAGGGGTGTATAAAGGTGAGATTACTATTATATATGACGGTGTAAAAGCTGTGAAAAACCTGACCTATTCTTTGGCATATTGCTCTGTGACGTTAGAAGGGTCTGCGATAATTGGATTTGTCAATACAACATCATTTCTTTTCGTGGTTCTTAACCATTTGTTTATGGAAAACATTACTGTTTCAATTGACTGGAAAGACGGAAGTACTTCTGACGTGGTCCTGGCTGGGGGTGCATCTCGCACAGTGTCACACCCGTTCATTACTCATGGCTACATGACGCCATTCTATAGTGTCAATACAACCAGGGGGAGGGACTCCGCCTCACTGGAAGAGAAATTATATTTAACGTACCCTGCGGAAGATTTTGAGCTTGAATTGCCAGAATTTCTACTCGTTGGTGAAATGTTTGCTCCAATAATTCTCTACGTCGGACCTGACACTTTGGAAAATATTTCTTGCACTATAACATTTAATTCAACCGCCAATGAAACTTTGGCAACACGGAACTTCCTACCATCTGATAATAGTGCAACATCAACTGAGCATAAGTATGTTTTCAAGCAGTATGAATTAATGAAAGTTGTTTGTCAAAATTCACTCAGCGTCAGCATTAAGAATTACAGCCGCATGGTGTTTAGTGAATGCTTCCAAGCTCCAGACATGTTTGAGTCAATACATAGAGAGGAAAAACGACCAATGAGGGCGAACACAGCTTCACTTCCTACACTCACGGCTCGTGTTAAGTTAGCAGATAAATGCAAGAACACAACAGTGTTTGTGTTTACATGGATATTCCAGAAAAAAAACACATTGACTGGACAATTTGAACCCTATGATATAGAAACTCCGAATAACATATCCATGAACCTCGCCAACTCTACTATCAAAGAAGGGACTTACACAGTGAATCTCACGATGAGGCTTCAAGAAAAGGAGGAGGACTATTTGGAAGACCAACAATATCTTGAAATTGTCAACCCTCCCCTCGTCTGCAGCATTGTTGGGGGTGTGTTCACTTTGATAGGACAAGGCGAAATACTTGTTTTAGATGCTGAAACCAATTCGTATGATCCCCTCGATGGGATCGTACGAGATGTTAGCAGGGAAGACACAAAACACAAAACAAGCACTCTCAACTTCTCTTGGGCATGTTATGCTGTTGACTGTGGAGACACTGAAGCATACATGGTTCCCAAGAACACTGACAGAAGTTATAGAGATAAACCACAGTGTAATCTTACATTGCGTAATGAGGGTTACATAAAGGTGGACACAGCGATTGGCTTTGAAAATGGAAAATGTTACGTATTTGAGCAGACACTCAGCAAGGATAATCGCAAAGCGACAGCAATAAAAGTTGTACGTTTGGAACAGAAGAAACCCTGTCCTATTGATATTATGTGAGTAATCAGATATATTTATTTATGTTGCAAAATTATTTAGAAACCACGAATCAAGAAAAACTAGTTGTCATGTCAGAATCAATGTTCTTCCCGCGCTACACTATCGGTACGCCATTCCTGTCATTGGAAACTCTATTGTGTCAACCTGTAGGCATTGCAATATAGGTATATATAGGAAAGCCATATTGCAGCTGCATAACATCCACACATATTAAAATTGCATCATGTGAACCTTTAGTTGCTATAGGATATTTACGATACAGTAATGTCTTTGTCATGCAGGCATTCCTAAAAGTTTAAAACAATTTTCGAGTCAGGATTCAAAGTTTATCGGATAGGATAACACTATCCATTATCTAATAAATGTCTGTATCGTGTTATGCAGATGCTTGAAAAACTGCATGGAAAAGATCACACCAGAGGAACCAACAGCGTTCAGGGTACTCACTGGCAGTGTTAAACCGGTTGCAGCAAAGTTCAACTGGACACTTTCTAAGTATGATCAATCAAATGCAGACTACAGCGAACTTTCGTCAGCCGACAAGAAGTTCAAGCGTGGTAAGTTAAGTTAACTTACATCTGACTTGATATCGTTGTCGCTTTATCTTTCTTCAGATTTAGCGTTTGTATTTAAATCTATTGTTAGGTGTTACCTTATCACACTTGAACGTTTCGAATGAGGCACGTGCTCCGTTTTTGAACCTTGGAATAACTGTTGAAAAATTCAGTGTTTTCCGATATAAAGTGTCCCGTCCCCACTGGGCAAGTCAGGTCATAGTTGGAAGGCCTCGAATCGCCCTCGTCTCGCCGTATATAGGTGCAGCCCGTCTTCTCGAAAGTGCCTAGAATAATGTACTTGATAGCTATGAACACGTCAAGTTACTCACAGCGGACGTCTTTGTGCAAGGAGTGTAGCGAGATGTCATGCGCTAGGACCTTGTTTGGGCTGCACGCCACACAAGGGAGGTCACTCTATGTCTACATAACATAACATCACACGAGCTGCCCTTGGGAGTATCACGATAGGCAATCAGAATACTTTCCATTTCATCGCCTTAATAAATGATACAATAATCATCAGTATTAGTAGTTAAGGAGTAGTAGTAGTGAGTGAGTTGTATTTAACGCCACTTTGAACAGTATTCCATTTATGTCACGGCATGTCAGCTTAATGTGGATGGAAAGCCCAAAGTGATGAAGGTCGGAGACGTTTACCAATTTGGTGAAGCTAACGAGTATGGGAAACGCAAACTGCAAATGTTATGCACATGGTTTCTCAAACTGAACGTTGATTCAATGAGTATGCCTATATTTTTTGCGTGATTGCTTAATGCTGACAAACGTAGACACATAATCGGGGCGAACCGGGATTCGAACTCACATTCATAGGTTTCTGAGGTGCCAAGGAACGCAAACAAACAGAGAATTGCGGCACGTTACACGGCTGAGCCACCCGTGCCCCCAGTAGAAGTAATAGTAGTCGTACAGATACTAAACTCGCACGTTTGTCATAAAATGTTGAACACGTTCATAAGCTATTGATATGTATATAACACACTTGCAGAACCGTCTGACCAACTGTTTGAGTTGGAACCTAACTATTTCACGCCTGGTGGCGTGTACAAGCTACAGATTACAGCCGACATACAGGACCGACCTCAGAGCATAGCCTTCAGAGTCTTACTGGTAAATGAAAAACCAAGAGGTGGAACTTGTAAAATAACACCAACAGAAGGTAGGCATGGGTTTGTTCAATAATACTATTCTTTATATATTTTTGTAGCGCATCTTATTCATATACTCCCTGCTCAAGAACGCTTAAGGTTCTGTGTTCATACTTTGCCGTCCTGGATGGCAGCATCATATCTGGTGTTTGAATGCCCGTTCCGTTGGGTAAAAGTTGTAAGTTCTTGTAGGTACACTGGAGTCACGCCAATGAGTGATTTGTAGACAAATACCAACAGCTTGAAGCTGACTCTCTGTGTCAATGGCAGCAATGCAGTTCTTTGAGGACCAGTGTCAGGTGGACGTGCATTCGACATTGTTTGATGAACCTGGCAGCTGTAGTTTGCTGACACTGCAGCTTGTTCAGATGATTTTGTTGAATGTCATGCACGAGGTTGTTGCATAGTGTAATCTTGAAGAGACAAATACACAGAATAAGCATTTTACTTGTCTTTGTCCGCATATATCGTAAGTTGTAGCAGCATCACGAGGGATACGTGGGGTACATTTTGAAGAAGTGATGAGGAAACTAGTTTGAATCCTAGATAGAGCTCTGTATCGTCAGCATATAGATAAAAACTCAGATCATGAGATCTTGCAATTCTTCCAACTGGTATAGGGTTTATAGTTAAAGGTTTTGAGCCAAGAACAGATCACTGTGACAATTCAAATTTCATTCCCCTTCTATCTGTTCTCTCCCAAACATTAATCAGTGACTGATGGCTTCCTGTAATATATGATGTGCACTATGATAGAGCCTCACCAGTAACACCTATCTCTGAGAAGAGTTTAGTGGTCTGTTGTGGCAAATGCTGATGATAGATCGAGTCGCCCTTGGAATCAACAAACATGATGTTAGGATAAGATTTCTGGATGAACAACTTCTTTATTACAATTAGGAGGGGCGTTTCGGTGTTGGTTCCAGCAACGTTATCAAGCAAATGAGGTACAGAGTATGGATGAAAAACATATATACACGTAGGCGCTAGAGTTTATACAGTTGAATAGATTGGGGTGTGGTTACAGGTGAGTGGAGAAGCCTGTTAAGTAGAAAAGTTGGAAACAAAATGTCAGTAATGAAAACAAGGGGGTGCTAGCCCATACTTGAATATATGCTTCTCATCCATAATCTGTACCCCCTTGCTTGATACCATTGTTAGAACCTACACTGAAACGTCACTCCTAATTGAAACAAAGAACATTTCATCCATATTCATCCAGGTTCAACAACATGAAGTTGGTCATTGTGCATAAATAGCAAAGCTGTTTCTGTGCTGTGTCTTGTAATTGCAGGATTGCAGGACATCTCCAACCTGTCCAATTTTTGCATGGAATGTTTTCTGAAAGCCTTCCAATTTTGTCAGCATTGGTGGCATCAAAGCATGTCATATCATTGCCAGCTAAACCTAACGAGCTGCGTTTTGCCATCATATTGTCTATTAATCAACTGGGTTTATCATGCTTTTAATGAAGAACTTGATGGCAAACTTCTCTTTTGTTGTGCGGGAAGGCAGAAAAGCTGGCATTTTCTTGAAAAGTACTCCATTTCCATCTTGAAATACTTCCCACTGATCTTGTTTGTTTGTTGCTTAACGCCACAGCAATATTCCAGCTAAATGTCGACGGTCTGTAAATAATATAGCCTAGACAGTCCAGTGATTGACATCACGAGCATCGATCTACGCGACTGGGATACGATGACATACATCAACCAAGTCATCAAGCCTGACCATCCGATCTTAAGACAAGCATAGTCATGTTCTGCGCATCAACATCATATACTTTGTCAACATGAACGTTGAAATAGCTGCAGATCACTAATTTTCCACCATAGATATTTAGTCTATATGTCAGGTCACTAAACTCCATGAGGTAAGTATCCAGTAGACTTGACTTTGGTGGTCGATAAACGACATTAATTTGTATCATTTGGTGGTGTTAATTTGCTGGAGTTAATTTGCTGATGGATAATTGGTCGAAACCAAGTTCTGTTAACGGCTAACACATCCAAGCTGTGATCTTTTGAAAAAGTTCCTGAAGAGCCTCAGGCTTGTCAACCGTGAATCTACTGCAGATCTAGTATTTATAAGACCAAACCTGCTTAACACATCGACCTTTCCAATCGTGTTATGGTTATTCCTGGGTACACCCTCCGGGTTTCTCCTCTTGCGTCCCTGTGTGTCTTAGGAACACCACAAAAGTCAGTTTTTTTAATGATTTGAAAATTGGTTAGGAATCCCACACACAATTCCCTTAATTCGGCTGACAAGGACTGGATTAGACCCATTGTTCACCAGACAGATACCGATTAAGAGCATAAAGACGGCTACGCACGGGTGTACCTGTTGTTTTCACAACATGGACCTTGTAGTGCTGATTAATCTTTTATGTTAATGGGTAGGGAGACATTGAATGTTTGTTCCAGTGTTGATAATACAACGTACCACCAGTGATGTGGTAAGGAAACATTCAATGTCAAGTGTTACAGATTAAGACTACAATCCAGTTATATATACCAATGACTTGAAGGTCACAGCTAATCATTTCCAGGGATATGAAACAGATGTAGGAAAACTTTCAGGAGTACACACTTTGTATACTGAACCGTAAACGAAACGTCACCATGGATAGATATATGAGAAATCGTATTTGTCCAAACACTGTAAACAAACTTTGAGAAATATTAAAAAGATGAAACTTGGCAAAACTGGTCATCAATGTTGAAATTAAAGTGACAAATGTTCTTAAAGTGAAACACAACACCAGTCTCTGGGAAAATGGCATCACAAGTCAGTATCTCGTGTGTCCGCCATGTGCTTTGATGACTGCCGTGAAACGTCGATACATTGAATGGATGAGGCGGTTGATGAAGGTCATATGCACTTGAGCCCACCCTCTAAAGAACGCCGACCGCAGTTCAGCTGCAGTTGTCGACCTTGGTCGGACGTCATTCAGCCGTCTTTGAATCTCGCCCCACAGGTACTCAGTGGGATTTAAATTGGGTTTGAAGGCAGGCCACTGCATGGTTCTGATGCCATTCTGCTGGAGGAAGTCTCTTGTTGCCCTCGCAGTGTGGATACGGGTGTTATCATGCTGAAACTCGTGGTTGCGGCGACGTGCCAAATGAGGTATGGCGTGTGGTCTCAAGACTTGATCAATGTACCGAGCTGCTGTAACACCATTGCCTCACCCTGGACCGATGTTCTGGGAGACCACAGGGCCGACCCTCTATGCAAGACCACTTCCATCCCACACCATGATGCTCGGACCATCCCACGAGTCTCTCTCAACAACACAAGCATCCGAATTATGTTCCCCATGGCGTCGCCAGACTCTTCCATCTGCTGTTGAGACATAGTAACGCCTCTGAGAAGGGGACTCTTTTCCACTGTTGGTGGCGCCAATGCTGGTGGTTTGTTGCCCACTGAAGACGGTCCCGGCGATGACGTGGTGTCAGAATGGGTCCTCGGTGTGGCCTGTGTCAGTGGAGGTGTATGCTCGTCAATCGTCGACGCAGGGTGTCCTCACTAATGTGTCGCTGGTCCCATGGTCTGTCGAGCAGTTTCCGCAGCAGTAACAAAGCGATCGGGAAGATGCTGTCGCACAATCTGACGATCCTGACGTCGGGTGGTGACCCTTGGTCTTCCACTATGTGGTCGGTCATCTGTAGTGTTGGTGGTCTGGTACCGTTGCTGGAGCCTGTATATGGTCCTTACGTGGACTTGAAATGCATTGGCTACTTGCCGGGCGGTTTTTCCAGCTTGCAATCGTTCACGGGCTTGGTGTCGGTGATTTCTTGTCAATCTTGGCATGTGGTAGCAATTCAATAACGAATGAATGTTATCTGATCTGGGTGGATTTTTATAGGGCAAGAGATGGGGGAACGCATGAGCATTTCAGTTTGCACGGAACTCACGTGCATCGGATTACCATGGCCGTTGCCGTGATGCGTTTGGGCGATTGGTTTTATGGTCATCTGCTTTGTTTTTATCATCAAATTTCATTTTTCCGGACAAGGTAATGTTAAATTTTAGAAACTTTGACAAAAATTCAACAGATATGCTGAAATATTGCTGACTGGGGCATAAAATAACTTTCACCTGTTCACAATTGAGCTGTTCACTATATATCCTTCATAGTTTTCAGGCATTCCAACATAATCTTCTTACAAGTGGGGGGCACGGGTGGCCCAGTCGTCTAAGGCGCCGCGATTCGGTGTGCAATGTTGCGTCCCTTGGGAACGCCAGAAACCTATGATTGTGGGTTCGAATCCCGGTTCGCCCCGATTATGTTTCTAGGTTTGTCAGCACCATACCGTGCTCGTGGGTTTCACCGAAGTGGTAAACGTCAGAGACCTGCATCACACATTAAGCTGACACGCCGTGATATAACTGTAATACTGTTAAAAGCGGCGTTAAACCCAACTCACTCACTCTTACAAGTGGATTTTGATACACGTGAAAATCCGGATTTGAATAGGTCTTCAGTAACGATGCTTGCCGTAAAAAAGGCGACAATGCTTGTCGTAAGAGGCATTCGGAGCTGATTTGTTTGTCAGTCAATTCATGTCAGGACGTGTTGTGTTGACAAAGGATAACAATTCGAAGTTCTTGTGAAATGTTTACGGTTTTTACACATGTTATTACTATCAAACCATTCATAAATAGCGGATGTTGATTATTTATTTCGAACACTCACTGTTTACATGTTGTAATGCGACAACAACAACCAATTCCAACACCGTAGTCGTTTATCTTACATGTCATACCAGGGATGGTCCGGACTGGTATTAGTTTTCAGCAGCCCATGTCGTAAGAGACGACTATGCTTGTCGTGGGTAGCGACTTGCGGCATCGGCTGGTCAGGCTCGCTGACTTTGTTGATCCATGCCATCGTATCCCAATTGCGTAGACCGATGCTCATGATGTCAATCACTGGATTGTCTGGTCCAGGCCCGATTATATGCAGACCTCCGTCATACGGCCGGAATATTGTTGCATAAACAACACACAAACATTATAGTATATATCATACTCATTGAACTACAAAACCGGACTGTCCTTGTATATTCTTTTCTTTAAAGATATCTGAGCTAACTCCAAAATACTGCATGAAACTGTATCTTTCAGAAAAACTGACATGTAAGAGAGATACACCGTACACCAAACATTATAGTGAGTGCAGATGCAGAAACAAGTCCTGTACACAGTTTGGAATTGCACTGTATATTTGACTCATCTGTCAGATCATGTCTCTATTTTTGTGTAGGTGTGGCTCTACAAACAAGATTCAAAATTCTTTGTGATGGATGGATGGATGAGGGTATGCGGGAGGAAACTGATGATGCGATTGACATCAAAGAACCACTCAAGCTGAAGATTATACAGGATGGTAACCTCATCCGATCAACAGGTGAATGCAGTGATGGGAATATCACATCTCTCCGCTACATTAACTAATGGCTGATATCTCAATGTCAAAATATAATTTTGATTACTCTGCCGTTGCTTTGTGTGTTTATCGAAATTTGACAGTCGCAACTAGTCTTTGTTTACTGTCTCCATATCACGATAGCTTGTGATCGGGCTCTTCTTTATTAGACCATGTCATGTCGTCTAAAAGCACTCACAGCTGCCATGATCCGCTTGCCAAAGAATTGTTTTCACCACCTACTAGTATCTTCCATAACAAATGTGTTAAATATAGAATACTAAACTCGCTCCCGTGTAATACCAATTTTATGAAACGAGTGAATAGTTCTGGTATCTGACGAGCGAAAGCGAGTCAGATACCACAACTATTCACGAGTTTCATAAAATTGGTTTTACACGGGAGCGAGTTTAGTAATTTATTTATTACTTGCCATTTACAACGTTTTTAGAATTATACTGTTGAGTATGAATAGGCTAGCTGACACCTACACGATCCACGGCATAGTCCAATTGAGTTTAACAGAATAATACTTCAAACACGTCAAAAGTTGAAAGGTATGAATTTAATACCATACAACGGTCCACCTTTAGAATTCACAAAATTATCGTAGGGCTAAGACTATCGCAACTCACATACTTTAACTTATATTAGACTAACGACTGTCGTTGCGCTACAATACGATCGCCTTGTGGAACGGGCCTTGTACCTCAAACTTTACAATAACGTCACAATACCCGATGACGTAATTTGTGGAATTTTGTTGCAAGACCCATCGGCGAAACAATGCCATGTGACGTCACCCTAGCAACAAGGTTGCTGGGGTCATCGAGTGTGCATAAGCTCCTCTCAGTGATCTATCAACTCCACACGCAATGTCTTTGAATAAGCCAAGTGATGTTGAGAGCTTTCAATATTTGTTCGTGAAACGTGTTCCGAGAGTACACAAGCACGCGTTTTGGTATTACACAATGTGTAATACAGCTGTATGTTTATTAAACGGGTGATCTCTTCACGGGCAAGTAATAATCATATATTCTAGAGAACTCTTATACAAGAGTATACCTTGATCATTTTGGACGAGCATTAACTGATTGTGTCCCTTGGCACAGATTTCACTCGCAAACTGTCACAACCTTCCGTCGACCTGAAGGCTGGTCCTGAGCCGGATTTCGAAACTGAGGTTAAACTGGTTGTTACTGATGCGTTCGGTGGTCAAGTCGAGTTTACAGAGACGGTCAAGGTAATGTATAATAATTAAGGGGTCATGATAATTTCAGCTGTAGTTGTAATAGACCTGGAATAGAATATTATCATTTTGAACAATTTTGGAACTGAATTACCTTTATTCACAACCTTGTCGACTTATTGGGAGAGGAAAGTGTAAAATCTAAGACAGTTACAATGTACCTCTTCTTTGAAGCTGTGGTGCAACAGTTGATCCACATAACACTAAAGGAAGCAGAGATACAAAGCATTTAACCACAAGGCTACCCACACCTCTTGTTGAAATAACTGATTTGCTACGCAGAATTGCTTCTGTTGACGATACTGGGTCGTTGGTTCGAGTCCCATACTTGCCCGGTTATAATAATTAGTTTTCACCTCTTTAGGTTTCACCATAGGAGTAAGAATCTAGGACGAGCCTTGACGCAGACACATGACACAATGCTGAGAACTAACACTATACGAGAACCACGTTATCGATGCACCAGCATGTCCTCCACGTAAAACATCATGAATGGGCCTCTTAATGTGTGTGTGTGTGTGTGTGCGTGCGTGTGTGCGTGCGTGCGTGCGTGCGTGCGTGCGTGCGTGCGTGCGTGCGTGCGTGTGTGTGTGTGTGTGTGTGTGTGTGTGTGTGTGTGAGAGAGAGAGGGGGAGGGGTCCGAAACCGTTTCCGCTGGCAACTATTTAACTGTTTTCCACCAACATGAATCAAACATGACATGTATAAACATTAGTGTGGCATTAGTGTGGCGGTCGGGTAGCCTAGTGGTCAGACCCGTGTTTGATTCCCGGATACAATGTGTGAAGTCCATTTCTGGTGTCCCCCGACGTAATATTGCTGGAATATTCCTAAAAGCGGCGTAAAACCATACACACTCATTCACTCACTATAAACATTAGTATAAGCCTCAACGTCAGAGAATAGTGAGCCTCAATCAGCTGCCGAAATAGATTCCATTGGGCGCAAAAGGCAAAATAGTGCTTAACATCAATCGAATGAATGGCTGAAAATCAGCAATGACACCAGGGCCCACTTGCACAAAGCGATCTTAGTGCTACAACTAGTGTAAGCCTATGTTAAAGTATGGGAGTTACGATCATCTTAGCGCTAAGATCGCTTTGTGCAAGTGGGCCCAGGTGTCCTCAAAAAGAGTAGGCATGTCCTGCTCTACCGATTGCACCAACCCCTCGCACACGTTGCATAAATAGGCAAGTGTTTGTTTAATTTGCTGCCTATCCCGTTTACTGTTCTAAGTAAATTTATATGAACAAGATGGGTAACACTTACAACACCACCACTGACATGCATGTCCTGCTCTACCGATTGCACCAACCCCTCGCACACGTTGCATAAATAGGCAAGTGTTTGTTTAATTTGCTGCCTATCCCGTTTACTGTTCAAAGTAAATTTATATGAACAAGATGGGTAACACTTACAACACCACCACTGACATGCATGTCCTGCTCTACCGATTGCACCAACCCCTCGCACACGTTGCATAAATAGGCAAGTGTTTGTTTAATTTGCTGCCTATCCCGTTTACTGTTCTAAGTAAATTTATATGAACAAGATGGGTAACACTTACAACACCACCACTGACATGCATGTCCTGCTCTACCGATTGCACCAACCCCTCGCACACGTTGCATAAATAGGCAAGTGTTTGTTTAATTTGCTGCCTATCCCGTTTACTGTTCTAAGTAAATTTATATGAACAAGATGGGTAACACTTACAACACCACCACTGACATGCATGTCCTGCTCTACCGATTGCACCAACCCCTCGCACACGTTGCATAAATAGGCAAGTGTTTGTTTAATTTGCTGCCTATCCCGTTTACTGTTCTAAGTAAATTTATATGAACAAGATGGGTAACACTTACAACACCACCGTGACATGCGTGTTACTATTGGGACATATCAGCTGAGAATCGGGATATTCACACAGCCCTCTACAATCTGTCCAAGTGGAGAGGTATGATCCAAAATTGACATAAACACACATAAACACACGATTTCACGTTTCGGCTCACTGCAATGACCCAACTGCTTCTAGCTTTTGGAACCGGTGTTCATATGGCCAACAAAATGTAATGTACTGGTATGTGCAAGAACTCTTTCATATCTATGGGAAAATATAGAAATTGCAACCTCGGTTACACTGTTGACAGTAATGACGTGAAGTAAGCTCCATCATACCGACTGATGTTCTGTCATTAACACGTAAGGCATTATAGGATCGCATGAAACATAGACACCTAAGACTGATTTTGTTTACCCGCAAACAAGATATCGTAGTTTTGTCGTAGATTTAGTTAAATTGCCATTGCTGAAATATTAAAGTCATGTTGGGTGTGGTGAAAATGCCATTTCTGTAGTTTTTACAAGGAAACGTGTTATGTGTATTTAGTTATGTTCAACCAAAGGGATCGTCATGGTTTTACAAGAAAGAGAGTCCCAGTGGTGTTGATTTATAACTGAACATTTTACTCAGTGTTTTGGATAAACACTCTGATGCTTCTACCCTTGTGTTCGGTCATGTGAACAGCAGAACACATCGAGATTACGTGAACGATGAACATCTATTGCGTTGAAGGAGATGAGCATTTGAGTGACATTCTAAGGAAATTTGACGAGCCAAGACTATCTTGCGACTTTACAGTCAACTGTTTTGGCAAATCTCTCCTAGAAATGTGTTCTGTTCTTGACATTCATATATAGTATGGCGGATACGGGTGAATGACTGGCCACTCTACGTCTATTGGCACTATGGGAGGCAGTGTTATTGATTATGTTTCGACATCCTCATACATATTCCATAATGTTAGAGAATTTACTATACTCTCATGCACCATCTGCGATCATCAGCCAATGCAATGAGCTCAAATCATAAAATATTTGTTAACGTTGACTCTGAGCATAATGAGATCTACAAATATGCAAGGATTGGGAGACAAAGAGAGACATGCATCACTGTCGTGACCAGATATAACTGATAGTTTGGACAATGCAGCTTTGACAGATGTCCCTGAAGCAGTGAACCCCTCGTGATTATGATTATGGACATATTGTTAAAAAGCACAAAAGTTGTCATGCCCTAAATACTTTCTGAAATACAAAGACACTTGAACACTCAGCCATGTTTGTGAGAGTTCGAAATGAATGCACATCTACCTGTAGGAAAAAGGCGGAGCTACACCAGCAACGTACTAGAGAGTAATTGATTGAATCAGCTACTATTTCTCTTAATGGTTTGAGGAACATTGTCTGACGTCTGTCTGGTCGTACCCGCAATCATAATCCTATTGTTATGGGTGATTGGACTGAATATTTTACTACAGTGTTCTCATGAGCTTCTGGCTCGTTCCAATCATATTCATCAGTTATTAGAAATCGCAGTGAACAGACCAACGACGGACAAGACATCTCACATGACATTCTTGATAGCCCCATAAGCAAGACATGAAATATTGGAGAAAACAATAAATCTACGGGCCTAGATCATTTTACGTGAATACGTAAAACACTCATCAAACACTATTGTTCCATAATTAGATATATTGTTAAACTGAATGTATGTTTTTCCTGACAAATGGCCAGTTGGCATCTCTATACCTCTGCACCAAAGATTAAACGAATCCTGATAATTACAGGTTAATTAGTCTTTTTTAGTATGTTAAGAAAAGTGTTTACCGTTATCGTGGAGAAGAGGTTGGTGTGTTGGGCAGTTAGCCTATCCAAAATATCTGAATGTAAATCTGAATTCAGGAAGGGGTATTGTACCGCGGATAATTGCTTTATTTTTAATGCTTTTAATTAGCGTTTTCTCACGTAAAGGAGACATTTGTGAGAATATTAAATTATGTGTTCGGTTAAATAATCTCATTTTGGATTGCTTATATCCTACTGGTTTTAGACAAGGCTGTGCGCTTAGTACCTTTCTATTTCAAATGGATAGACTGTGTAAGTTGCTGTACGGTTACATCCCCCAAAAAATATTCTTTTACTTTGCTGATGGCGTGATACTTTTTGAGGACAGTGTTTATATTAATCTGCGAAAGATAAATGCATTTAAATGGGCATTGTGAAAAATGTCACTTGATATGTCAAAAACAAAAAGGATAACCTCTTTCAGTGGCATATAGAAGTTGGTGTGATGAAGTAAGACAAGTTCTATGGATGAACAACTTCTTTATTACAATTAGTGCGACGTTTCGGTGTAGATCCTAACACCTTTATCAAGCAAGTGATGACTCAGGATACACGTAGAGAAGTACTTTATGATTAACAATGGACGTAACTGGTCAAAAATCTTTTATAGCATAGCTTTACAACCTAAATGGATAGCTATTTTGATAAGTGTAAATATTTAATGCTGAAGTTATACCTATACTGCTCTATGGTGGTGATGTTTTGGGGGTTGAAAACGTTAATAAACTCGATGTAGTACAGTTATTTGCTTGCTAGCGGTTTCTTGGTGTAACCATGTCAGCATCAAACAGTGGAGTTTTGGGGGAATGTGGTAGACACCCGATCCATGTACGTACCATTTATAAATGTGTTAAATACTGGCTAAATAATATCACAATGTCTGAATGTGGACACAACATATAATGTGTATCTATGATGAGAGATAACTTCAAACAGACATGGCACAGTGAAGTCTTTTCTTCTCAAAATATTCATTATTTAGTTAAATCAATAACTGCTCTTTCCAAAGTGTTGTCATGATTTAGAAATTGTACGAGGGCGCCATGCAAATATTCCAGGGAATTTACGTACAGTAAACTACGGTTATAACGAACTCAAAGGGACAACAAATTTTAGTTCGTTTTAACCGTAGTTCGTTATAAGCATATGTATAGCATATATACAGCAAATGGCCGGGGAAAAAAACCCAGTTCGTTATATCCGCCAGTTCGTTATAAGCGTGTTCGTTATAAACGTAGTTTACTGTATATGTAAGTTATGCAACTCATTGCAACTCTATGTTTGGTATTTAAGACAAATTTATTTTATAACAAAGTTTTATCTCCATCCAAACTATAACTAATTCAGCCTCCTTTTATCATCGCAAGATCCTGACACTGTAATTGAGTTAGCTACATGTATAGAGGATTCATCACGAGTGTTTTTTTAATATGGGAAATATCAACCGAGTCTTAGTTAATCGGTATTTGCCGAGCCTTTGGCGAGGCAAATACCGATTAACGGGACGAGGTTGATATTTCCCATATTAAAAAACACGAGTGATGAATTCTATTTATCATTTTCACATTTTTGCTTCCCAATTAAGTAATAATTGCATTAAACATTAACATCAGCAACTTGTCGAAATCTTACGTATAGATCGTGCGTAGTGATACATGTTTTCCATAGCCGTGTAAACCAAAATAAACAACCTCTTAACTCCTTTATGACATATTCCTTCTCTGAGAAAAAAAGTTCCTCGGATTATTTTAAACAAAATACTTGAACAGACTTTTGCAGAATAATTGAAATAATGTCTCCAACATCAAAGGTATCCATGTTGTTTGTAAACACCTACTCTCGTGCACCGGCGAAAAAAGTCCCACTTCCGGTTATCTAATTTGCATATCTAATTTGCATACTTATGTCATTGGGGTATGACATACATGTTTTTATGTCAAAAGCTTATGTCATGGATAAATGCTTTAGTTAAATGATAAATTTATAATGCGCACTTTGATGGAAACGTATTATTCAATGTTTAACAACCTTACATATTGAATAACACAAATGGAAGTAAATTGACTCAAACCAAAGCGACTGGCACATAATATATTCTCACTTTCCAGGTGAATAACAGCATGCCGCCGGTTCCAAAGTTTGGAATAGCTGCTTCAACGCTTAATAAAGAAGAGGAAGAAAAACAAAAGAAAGATTTCACTGACTTCCTCGAAACAATCAAATATGATGTCAGATTCTCAGCTGGTAAAGGCGCCCCTCTTGACACGGCTGTAATCGCATCAACCGTCGCAAAATCACTTAACACTGCTGTAAGTACACAGTTGTCACTTGACTTATCGCATGCCATATTTGCCAATTTACTATGTCCCTTCTGTGGTGTGATTGATGTTGAGACACATTTTCGGATAGCCTGTACCCCCTGTGATGACGTCAGATATGAACCTTTGCAACCTCACCTCATCTGTAAAGTTAAATAAATATATTTAATGCAATGCGGTGAAATACAAAAACCGTCAGCTGATATTTTAATCCTAATGTTTACCAGAAGAAATAGGCTTACAAAGTCAAGCGTGTTTTTCCTCAAGTATTATTATCATTGCTGTAACTTATCTCCTATTAAAACTATGCCTGCAGACTGCACTTTGCGAAGAATATTTTAGTTAGGTGTATTACACAGTTGTGCTGTGAATATTTGTGTTTTGTTTGTGTGTTTGTGTTTGTGTGTGTGTGTGTGTGTGTGTGTGTGTGTGAGTATGTGTATGTGTGTGTGTGCATGTGCGTGTGCGTGTGTTTGTGTTTGTGTTTGTGAGTGTGTGTGTGTGTGTGTGCGTGTGTGTGTGTGTGTGTGTGCGTGTTTGTGTTTGTGAGTGTGAGTGTGTGCGCGTGTCTTCCTTAATGTCTACCTTCTCTCTCTCTCTCTCTCTCTCTCTCTCTCTATCTCTGTCTCTCCCTCTCTCTCACTGTCGGGGCGGTCGGGTAGCCTAGTGGTTAAAGCGTTCGCTCGTTACGCCGAAGACCCGGGTTCGATTCCCGACATGGGTACAATGTGTGAAGCCAATCTCTGGTGTCCCCCGCCGTGATATTGCTGGAATATTGCTAAAAGCGGCGTAAAACCATACTATCTCTCTTTCTCTCTCTCTCTCTTTCTCTCTCTCTCTCTCTCTCTCTCTCTCACACACACACACACAAACACACACACACACCGGCCCCCACCTCCAACACACACACACACACACACACACACACACACACACACACACACACACACACACACACACACACACACACACACACACACACACACACACACACACACACACACACACTAACTCGCTTAACCATTTGCTAGGATAGGTTGAAGAGTTTCACACTGTGAAATGAAGTAGAATGTCTGTAGGTTCTTAACTTGTTGCCATTAACATTTCTATTTTCATTCGCAATGTCACAACCTACAGACTGTTGAAGTTCCAGTGCTCTTCCAGCTCATAAGTGAAAACAGTTAAACGAAGAGACGAAAGAACTATACTGGCAAAGTTCTGGTTTGGATCACTTCCTATATTACTATGTCAAACAGATATTCCATGCCCGCCATTCCTTTATCTGAAAGGACTTGTAAATATTGTAACAGTTGTGCATCGTCGATTCCTCCTATTGTTGAAGACGAAAAACATGTTGTGATTGATTGACAATGTTCTTTTTATACCGACTTAAGGCAGAGTGTACTCGGTGCTGCTGCTGCTAGTAACAGTAACTTTAATTGTTATTATTCTGAGAGAGAGAGAGAGAGAGAGAGAGAGAGAGAGAGAGAGAGAGAGAGAGAGAGAGAGAGAGAGAGGAGAGTGAGGGTGTGGAGGAGGGATGACATAGACTGAGACATTGTGACAGTGATTTTCTGGCTGTAACGAATATGACTCTGAACGACACAATTTTCCCCAAGTGTTTGTTCTGTGATTAAGTGAATGGATGGTGTGGGTGTATTCTGTGTTTGGAATGCCGGGTATGTTTTCTGCTGAGTGGTATGGTATGCGAGGCATTGTGTACACCAAACTATTTATTTAATATTATTTTTTATTTTATTTTAATTTTTTTCCGGAGGATGCTGAGGCTGTGTGTTGTGTTTCGGTGGTAAGGTTTGGTGTGGTTTAAGTGGTATGCTATGATATGTATATATGGCCGAGTCATACAGTTGGGACTTGTAACCCTTGATGTTTTATATTGTGATATATGTGTTTTATTGTCTCTCATAGCCCTCGGGGCGGCCAGTACGATGGGTGAGAAAAAAACCAAATGGAGATTGCTGCAGAGCATCAATTGTTCCCCGCCACATAATGTAATATGCAGAGGAAGTGTAAAACCTCTGTCACACTCTACCGCGTTTACACGGAGATGGCACGGCGTTGTGAAAGTTCTCAGAGCGCCGAGGGATCGCAGGAAATTTTTTAAAAACGTTGCACTTTTACTTAAAATTTTCACAAGATGGAGATATCAGGGCGTCCTTACAGCGACTGAGGCATTGCTTCGGAGCTCCCGTGGCGTGCTACCGCGTTCTAGCTGGCGATTGACTGCGCTCTCAAAGAGTGCTGACGGCGTGCTAGGAGTTGTCTCTGCGCTTCCACGGCGCTTCCACGGCGCGTACACTGCGCTGACGGCGTGCCAAAATAAGTTGCCATTTCGCTCGTCGCTCGTCGCTCGTCGCTCGTCGCTCGCCGCACGTCCACGTAAACCATCATGGCCGGCAAGGGGGTACTAGAAGAAAAACATATCTGTTGAGAAGCTCATCGAACATGTCGTGTGGCACACGGAGGAAATTGCAGTAACTGGCATACCGCAGCTCAGGCATGAGGCGATGATAGTGACCATACTGCCACCTTCTGCCGACGCCCAGCCACTGCCGTACCCAGAGCCACCTACGCCTTGAGGCCCACCTCCGTCTCCGTCCCTGTATGAGGTGTACAACGTTTGCATCATCCTGGGCCTGCTTGACATGCATGTAGGCAAGGAGTAGCCCGGCTTGCGTACAACAGTCATGGTGAAATGAGAGTGACAAAGATGAGAATATATTTATGCATTTATGGGGTCGGCTCACAACGCACTGGCAACGCTGATGGACGCGGTAGAAGCGCCGTTGGAGCGCAATGATCGCCGTGGCAGCTCCGTGTAGTCGCTGTGAGACCCCAGTAAAATAAATAACACTCCGGGTAAGCGCCGCCGACTACCACTGCGTCCGTAGTGCGATCATGTGCGTCCTTGGTGTGCGCCCACAGAGCTCCTGTGGAGCTGTAGGAGACCTAACTGCGCTGCCACGGCAACCCAACGGCGTTCCTATTGCGCGCATGTCAGAACGCAGAGCAACGGCGCGTACTTTGTGCATGCTCAAAGTGCGCGCCGTCGCATGGCGTTCTTTGCGACCCCACCGCGTCAAATGGAGATGCCACCGCCTTGCTGCGGCGCTGTAGGAGACCCTGCATACAGGTCGGTCAAGTCATCTATAAATTGAGAATTATTATTACATATTGTAAAAAAAAAGCTCATAGGTCTCATTTCTCAAAACTTTATCCAAGTAATCACAAACTAAAATTGAAACTGGTAAATATACAGAAACACCAACCCCATTGGAACAACGTCTCTGTTGTGTCTTAGAAGAGGGGCAACATTATGCACTGTGTTGTATAAAATACAACCAAGAAAGAGAATCACAAATAATCCTCAATCATGATAAAGAATTTGGTACACTCTGTTAAAAGGAACAATTCTTAATAATTTTTACCAACAGTTATCCAGAAAATATTTCCAAGATCGTAATATAAACAAATTCCTTGTATGTTCAACATTACCATAGTTTTGCTCAATTCACATAGTGTTTCCATATCATTTTAATACATTTGCTTCAAAATGTATTTGTTATAATGTACCCCCTTTGTATTTTGAATGTACCTGTGTGTTATTGTGCATATGTTTTGAAGTGTGTGATAGTGTAATACTGCCACTGTTTCTTCATAAAATGTTACGCAATACATATCTCATCTAATACATCTTTGTAGTATGATAGTTTGTTACAGTTGTGTACGGGGGCACAGTTGGCTCAATCGCTTAAGGCGCTGTACTCGCTGTGCAGAGTTGTGTCCCTTGGGCACGCCAGAAACCTATGACAGTGTGTTCGAATCCCGGTTTGCCTCGATTATGTTGTCAGCCCTATAGCCGTGCTTGTGGGTTTCACCAAAGTGGTGAACGTCTAAGACCTGCATCACTTCGGGCATTCCTCCAACATCAAGCTGACACGCCGTGATATATGTGGAATACTATTCAAAGTACTATTCACTCACTCATTACTCTCACTTACTTACTTAAGTTGGAGATTTTACCTGCGCTTTCTGACTAACAGCGTATGTCGCACACGGGCACACAGCGTATGTCATTACTCTTGTGTACGGTTCCGTTTGGTTAACATGGTTTGTGTTGTGATTACCTTCTGTTTAGATTTGAAGGAAAATGATTGCAAACTACAGTCCAACCTGTTGATTTCCTATGTATCCAGAAGCAAAGCACATATACGGGTGTAAAATCACTGTCGAAAGTTAAAAATAAATGTCAAAGCAATAAACCATGCTGAACCGTAAACCGCCGCATGAAACAACATGAATAATTATTTACATACAGTGAACTACTTGAAATAATCTTGTGCTCAACTGTGCACAGCAAGCCCCATACATGTTATTATGAAGACAACTAATTAAAAATTTCTCATATCAAACCCGTTGCATGTGTTGTATATTGAACAAATAAAGTCATACTTTACGGTATTTAATCTGCCTGGTATTTAATCGTGTTGAAAATAAGTTGCAATAGCAGTGTGAAGGGAGAAAGATTGAGTGTGCGTTAAATGCTTGATCAGAATTCCTCGCTGGAACCTTTCTCGCTGGCTGACTAATTAGCATACGATACATTGCAAAGGTAGTGTGCAACAGAGCTATTCGGGTAAGGAAGATAATCTTTCACTCTCAGTGGTACGGCTTGAATGAGATACAATGTACAGTCTTGCGAGGTCAGTGCGTGATAAAGACCTATACTACACCTATAGCTAAAGGAGATAATCGCTCAATACGCAATAGTTTATTCTTACAAAATATAAACCGGTAAACTTTAGTTAAAAAACAAACAAAAACAAATTGAATGGATTATTTACATTACGAAACATTACTTCAGGCGGGGAAGAATTAAAAAATCTGTCTTCTTCTAGTATATATTATGGTCTATCTCCTGCACATACATGTAGCGGATTAGCAGACGGTGATAAGGTGACATCTATATTATAATTACTTGAAAGTGCTGAAATCGGTTTGGAGGTTATCCCATGTGACAAGTAACACACTCTAGCACTCTATCCAACGGAGTGGATAAATCTTGTCGATGAAAGATTTATTATCATCACTTGAAGGTATTGAATTTGGTTTGTGCTGAGCTGTCGGTTTGTACGGTATTTGTGAATAGTCATCATGTTCTGACGCAATTGCCGTGGAATTTCGCATGTTATATCTACACTGAAATCCAGCTGAGCTCAGTTTAATAGTGTTCACATAGTCAACAAGCTAATTTTATTGTAAACAGAAGCCTTACACTTATAAATGTAGTGTTGTTTCTGAACTAGAATGTTTTAAATGTATTTTTCTCTGGAATCCTCTGCGTTATAAATAATATTTAATTTTTCTCTTAAAATAATTTAACGTTATCTTAAATGAAATGTATTAAGGCATCCGATCACCGATTTCTTGCAAATGTTCAAATTAATCAGTTACTTAATTTATTTAAGAACGAATTTGGACCAAGTACGCATGCCTCAATCCGCCCGCGTTTGGACAGCATAACCAATTGTCTATTAACACGTTCGTGGCTGCCAAAGAGGATGCGAACAGTACAGAACTAAGTAGATTGTTTATTATTTTGTGAATGCTCCAATTGCGTAACACCGTCCCCGAGTACAAACCCAAAAGGTCTGTCCCTTGCGACAGGTGTTAATTGGGAAAATGTATTGCAACTACATTATGGCAAGAGTTCAATTAAATGGCGTGTGATAAACCTTAATTAGTCAGTCCATGGGTCTGTAACTGTATTGTTACTGATGTAATTTCCCTTTTTTTATGTATGCATGCTGTTTAACAGGACTCATGTTACTTTTTCTGTGCCTACGAAAGATTATAACTTTCACTGTAATTTCTATATATCGTTTATTTTTTTTCAAATCATTTCATAACCCTCCAAACAAAGTTGCCACAATGAATATAGCATTTATAGCTATTATTGTCACATACGCAATTATACTGTCCGGTACATTATCATTTGTGATATTTTCAATGAAGTTATTTTTAAGACATAAAAAATCAACGACATACTGTATGGAATCAAACAAACCCTTATTAAAGTAAATAATAGAAACTGAATGAAGTAGTGCGGAAAGCCCTCAATATGTACAAACAATAAACAAGCTTTGTACAGGCGGCCTCAGCAAAATTTGATTTCCTTTGGATATACAAAATACACAAAATTTGATATTTTGGATATATTGCAATTTTCCCTCGTGTAATCTTCATATCAACTTCTTTAAGATGAGATAAGATAAGTGTATACAACGACGATGATACTGCGCATTAAAAAGGTTTAATTGACCGATAAAAGATTGAAAGTTCCCTTATGATGCTTTTTACCCGCAACAAGATTAAACGATGAATACACAATATGTTACCACGGCAATAATCCAAAACAAAATGAAAAACAACTTATGGATAAATAGTATGACTTTTTAAAATAGGGGCCTCATTTAACTGAAACAAGATTTCAAGACTTAATACTTATGATGTTGACATAGCTTGTTTAAAAGACAAATACCGGTGAGAATAACAGATGTACGGGCCCTTTTTGTTTGGTTAATGGTATTTTTAGTTGTAAACTTATCTTCCAGAATTTCACGACCGTAACGACTGAAGATGTGCAGAAGGTCGGCAGTGAGGACGCAGATTTTGATATATCTCTGATTCTTGAGGCAGGAACAACTTATAACTCTATCAAAGAGAATATAAAGGAGGTGAGTGTATTATGAACATTGTGTTTAATTTCCATTCCAGGTAAGAGTATGTTACTATGGGGTGATATGTGAAAGCTACACGATAAATCGCAAAGAACAATGATAGAACGAAGCGTGGTTTATTCCACGACAAATATTGCTCTGTCATGACGTCATTCTCGAGATTCGAATATGCGCTCGCAACTTGATGACGTCATATATTTGACGACGTCATTTTGGAGAGTGTCTTATACGTTTTTTTCCCATAGATGTAGCTTGGCTACGCAGATAAACGCAGTGGCTGAGCGATCGCACCAAAAATGGGAGAGACCTGACAATCGGTATTAGGAGAAAAGGCAGAGATGTTCGGCTTGAGGATTGTGAGAATATGCGGGAAATACCAAACTTAATCCGTAAAATGTTCGTAAAATGGACGTTTCCGATGTCGTATTCCATTCAGGGAATCATCAATATTAAATTTTGGGTAAATATCATTACAGATTGTACATTTTATCAACATCCTTAAAGAGACTGTACATGATGTTGATATCTCATATAAGCAATAAACGACGAGTGGGAGTTGTTTATCGTACAATAAAACACTGCAGGGAGAATAAACCATGAGGGGCGCAGCCCCTATTCTCCCTGCAATGTTATATTAGTTTACATAATTGTTTTCCAGAGGGGCAGCCATTTTATCTATTAATACTATTGAATAATTAATATCTCTGATGTGAAAGGTGAAAATTATGAAGCCCTTTATATTAAAAGAAAAAAATACACATTGATAAACATATATTGCCCCAATCAAGATAAATCTGAATTGACAGAAAACATAAGGGTAAATGATAGCCGAGTTAGTAAGGTATTATTCTTTGTGGAGATTGGAATTTGGTATTAGATGGTAATCCTGATACCTTTAATTACAAACACATTTTTAACCCCAAAGCCAGAAATAGCTTCATAGAACTTGCAGACACTTTATTTCATAAGACCCATTAAGAGAATCAAACCCACATAAAATACGACAAACTTGACCACATCCTACCCCTCTCAAACAGGCGAGCCTCAATGTTTTTAGTCTCTCAAAATTTGATTTTCTCAATTAAAGACACCCAGTATAAAACTAGATCACTCGATAGTTTTAATCATGTTATCTTTATCAGAATTGCAAAGTGGAAGAGGGTAAATAAAATTTAATAATATTATTTTTTTCAAAAAGAAAAAAAAGAAACGCAAAGCCAGATTTGTGTGAGGTAGGAAAATACATTTATACGAGGAACCGTACAAGGTTTTGAGCCAAAATGTTGTGTAGAGAGGACTTTGTGATTGTAATCATCTCAGTTATCGGTACATAGGAAAAGCCCAAGGTGAAGGTCAGCTACCATCAATAACGCGTATGTCCCCGTTGGAATCGATAGCGGCCTGACATCTCCTGCCCTTGGAAGAGACGAGTATGCGAATCACATCCTAGGGAATGGTAGCCCACTCGACCTGTAATGCAAAAGACAACTGCTGCAACGTCTGGGGTTGTGGTCGACGTCGGCGTAGTCGTCTATCCAATTCATCCCACAGGTGCTCTATCGGGTTCAAATCCGGGGATCTTGAGGGCCAGGGGAGAACATCACCGTTGTTGTTGTGAAGACAGGCTCTTGTGATCCGTGCTGTATGCGGTCGAGCGTTGGCCTGCTGGAATACACCGTTGCCGTTGACTGCAATTGGGAGGACGTGTGGTAGGAGAATTTCGTTGATGTAAGATTGCCATGATGAGAGATAGCCGCCCACATCATAACGCTACCCCCATCAAACCTGTCCACTTCCTGTACGTAGTTTGCGGCGTAACGTTCTCCCCGACGTCTGTAGACCCGTGCTCTTCCACCCCCTCGACGGAGGAGAAATCTTGATTCGTCGCTGAACCAGACATCTTTCCATCGCAGTTGAGGCCATACCCTGTGTTGACACCAATGCAGTCGTCTTTGACGATGCTGTCGACTCAATATGACGCGCCGAACAGGACGTCTTGTTCGTAGACCTGCTGATCATAAACGGTTTCGTACGGTCTGTTCGGAGTCTTTGCGCACTTCCGGGTATTTGGGATGCGGTTGGGGTGACTGTGATAGACGTAGGTGGCGCAGTCGGATGCAGCGACTTTGGGGGGAGATTGCGTGTTGACCCATGCTGTTGAAACTAATCCCATAGCCTTGTGATGGTGCTGGGCGCTACATTGAAAACCCTGCAAGCGGCCTTTGACGTTGTTTCTTTGCACTTCTGTTGATCTTGTTGTTGAACTGTCACTGTTCGACTGACGCAGATGCCTAGCAATAAAAAAACCGTGAACTTTAATACCATTCATTGTGCTGGCAGTGTGTGCAGCTCCATGACCTTTTTGTTAATGCACTGGGTGCGTTTTTCTGAATCGTACGTGTTTCCCGACTAATGGTTTGCATGTCCTTGTTGTGATCATTTTGATCCGGGAAATTTGTCATTGACACTTTAACACATTCAACCTCTTCATTTTGCACCTCTTGGTCCGCTAATTTTGCTTTTATGGCCAAAAATATCCGTTTTTCGTTTCTTTTGTTTTGAAGAGTATAATTAATTTCTATATGATAAAAACATGACATTGTGGAATTATTAAAAACTACAATAAAATATACACTAAAGCATTACGAAAATAAAAATTATCACAATGGCAAATGCTGGCCATGGTAAATTAATGAACAATTACTTTGGGAAAGCTGCTAATTCTAATAGTAATAAGAAGAATAATTTACTTTTCATGAGCGAAATAAAAATGAAGCTAAAGAAAAAGACGCAGAAAATTAGCTGAACAAAATGGAAAAGGTTCTTGACGTAACACAAATTTTAGAAGAAAAAGGGAATATTGAAAAGGTTAAACGAAATAAAGAATGGATTAGAGGAATGCATTGTACATTTGTCTGTTGATGTAGGTGAATGAGAAATTCGTTGAGTCCCTCACACAAGCAATTGACGCCGAACTTGAAATGATGAAGACGACGAGGCAGACTCTCTCAGCGGACTCCATCACTCTCCTCTCCGAAAGTCTGGCCACTGAAGTCGCTAATCCCGAACTCCTCAACACAGTAACGACTGTAATGTTGCTTTTCACAAACTCTATTGTTTGTTCTGTCATAAGAAATTCATTGATGTTAGTTTTAAACCTCGACACGATGAATGTAACGTTGCTATGTAAGAGTAATAATCTTGGATGGGACGTTAAACTCCATTTCATCCATGCTTGCCGTAAGAGGCGACTATGATTGTCGTAAGAAGCGACTAACGGGATCGGGTGGTCTGGCTTGCTGACTAGGTTGATGCTTGTCATCGTATCACAATTGCGTGGATCGATGCTCATGATGTCAATCACTGGATTGTCGGGTCCAGACTCAATTATTTACAGACCTCCGTCATATGGCTGGAATATTGCTGAGTGCGACGTTAAACAACAAAAAAAACACCATAAAATATTCAGTGTATTTATTTCTATAATCTGTGGCAATCAGGTATTTTCTTGTACAATTTGGAGAACTCACACCAAAGAACCTCTACTGGTAGCATGACGTGCAGTAAGTTTGCGGATGACACGTGGACGTCGTGCAAGGAAATACCATCTGTGTAGACGATTTCGCACCGTCTGGGCATGTACCTCACACTAGTTGCCTGTTGCAACCGGTCCCTTATTTGATTGGTAGTTTGCAACCGATTCCTTAATGCTATCGTTCTGACTTATCTGTCAAGGGGCGGTTGGGTAGCCTAGTGGTTAAAGCGTTAGCTCGTCACGCCGAAGACCCGGGTTCGATTCCCGACATGGGTACAGTGTGTGAAGCCCATTTCTGGTGTCCCCCGCCGTGATATTGCTGGAATATTGCTAAAAGCGGCGTAAAACCAAACTCACTCACTATCTGTCCAGGGCTGGAGTTGATGCCTTTGGGCGTCCAGAGCGGCCTCGATCATCGACGTTATGTGTTTGTTGGTATCGGGCCCTTAATCTACCGATGACAGACTGAGAAACATGCAGCGTTTCGGCAACAATATTCTGACAGGTGCCCGCCTGTAACATGCCCATGTCATGTAAACGTTGAGGACGTTGCAAACATCGCATGATCAATGCTGTTGCTTCCTTAATGATTAAATGTGTTTCATGAGGTGTCTTTGAGCGTTTGGTTCTAAGAAAACAATATGCGCCCGCTCACAACCGAGTCTGAGTGACAATGGTATTTCTGGCATTCCACCCCATGCGCGTGACCCCTGTCCGACGTCACGTGCTTCATGACTGTCACATGGTTGTGTTTGGAAGCTTGTTTCTTCGGACATGTTCTTGCCACATTAATCACTTACATTGCCAGACATGGTGTATTTTCCTGTAGGTTCACCTCAAAACAAAATATCCCCAATTCTTTTGCATACTATTAGTATATAATCATTTGCAAACTGTGAACTGGTATTCGTCATTTTATTGTAAGTGTTTGGGTACACAGGAAGCGGCCGGCAAGAGGCTCGTTGCCCTCGCATCAAATATGATGGACGTTTACAACTCGACGCTCAAAACTGTAGACGTGGAGAACATGACACATGGTAAGTGGACCATGTCAAGCAAACATGATTCATTTATAGATTAATGACTTTATTGAAAACTAATCATAACTCTTTAGCGATAAATTACCTTTAGTATTCAAATGTGTGCTGTGAATAGTTGTAACAAGGCATAAGCAAACTCCAAATGACCACATGTGAGCCATGTTAGAAGAGTGAGTTGGGTTTAACGCCGCTTTTAACAGTATTCCAGTTATATCGCGGCGTGCCAGCTTAATGTGGGAGGAAAGCCCGAAGTGATGCAGGTCTCAGACGTTTACCACTTCGGTGAAACCCACGAGCACGGGTATGGTGCTGACAAACCTAGAAACATAATCGGGGCGAACCGGGACTCGAACCCACAATCATAGGTTTCTGGCATGCCCAAGGGACGCAACTCTGCACAGCGTGCCCCCCCCCCCCCCCCCCCCCCCCCCTATGTTAGAAGAAAACATATATGGCCACTACTCCTTCACATTAATAAATTGAGAAAGGATATGTTGCCTATCGATCGCCATTTTGTGAAATGAGACCCAATGCTTGTGAAGGGGAATAGATTCGAAAGTTTCTCACTCGTAATAACTGCATGGGGATTATCCTCCAAATATATGCAGTGGCACGGCTGACCCAGTCGTAAATCGGCGTGCAGAGTTTCGTTCCTTAGATGCCAAAGACGCCTTTGATCGTGGGTTCAAATCCCATATTCGCCCTGATCATGTTTCCATGTTTGTCAGCAACATACCAGAGCTCTGCCAATCATATATGTACCGGTAACAGCTGCTGATGTTTTCTTGCCTGAATGAGATATTGCTTTAGCCTTTTAGAGTAAATCGCAAAAGGTATTTGGATTTGAAAACTGACAACAATCATCTTAGTAAGGATAACGTGCTTGATAACGGTGTCAGAACCTACACCGAAACGCTGCTCTTAATTGTAACAAAGAAGTTGTTCATCCATAAATGCTTCTCCGTACTTAGTACTCCAACTTCTGAATGCCTATCAAAGAAATTAATCATCTCAAGTTGCTTTTAACCAAGTCTTATACAGTGTCATGGTACGATCAAAAGACCTGACGGAAAATAAGAACAAATTGAAGTTTTGATTAATTGCATCATTAACTGAATCAGTGCTTCGAACTTAATCGTCGTCCACAGGGATTGAATAATAAAACTTTAAGTGTGTTGAACAATTCTGTCCGGAATATATCTGTTAATTCTTTGTGGAAGGGCAAAGAAAATACCCATGAATTCCCCGACTTCATAGACCCACTCCCTCCCAAATCTGTCTAATGATATGCAATATATTACAGAAAACAATCTGAACATTTGTAACGATTTCGCGTATGTATGTTTCATTACAGCTGTGGGGTCGTTGCTCAGCAGCATCATCCACTGCAACAAACAATACGCCATCACTGGTGTCGAGGTTGAGAGCTCATATAACGACAGCGAACACGCAGGTGCAGAGGCAGATGAATTGAATGCTGCTGAGAGGAAGTATCTTAAGGATCTGCTGAAGCGCAAGAAGCAGCTGAAACTAGACCGGGCTAACGAAACGGTAAGTGTGACATATCTAGTATATACAGACACATTTTTTCATATATCTATTTTACGACACGAGCCTGACTACCCTGAAGATCTTGACTTTCGTAATTATTCATGTAGGCAGGGCGTACTGTGTATCTGTGGGTATGTGTCACCTAACGGCCTATCAATACATGTGAGCTATCGATGCTGTGGCATTGGTGATATTGTTATCAAGGAAGACAAACTGTATATTCCGAACCACAGTGCGAATTACTAGGGGTATAACCAATCGTCAATACCAAATCATGATTGGTGATCCAGTACATAGACCATCACTAAATCATATGACTTCGTGTGTCGTACCTCCTTTCATTAACATACATGTGAATACCCTTTTACAAAACTTGAAATTTTGAAATATGTGATCCTTGGTTGAAATCCTTCTGAAATATAAGTAGAATAGTTTGCTGTGTTTGTTTGTTTGTTGGTTAACGTCGCACTCAGCAATATTCCAGCTATATGACGGCGGTCTGTAAATAATCGAGTCTGAACCAGACAATCCAGTGATTGACATCATGAGCATCGATCCACGCAAATGGGATGGCATGCATCAACCAAGTCAGCGAGCCTGACCACCCGATCCCGTTAGTCGCCTTTTACGACAATCATAGTTGCCTTTTACGGCAAGCATGGGTTGCTGAAGACCTATACTACCCAGGAGCTTCACGGGTCTGCGAAATATCATGGACACACTGTTGAACCCGCCATTCCTGGAAGGTGGTAGTAAAGGTAGTGACTGTATTGCGACTGTTACTGTTATTACCATATGTTCAAAAAGGTAATTGTTAATGGATGTCTTATTAATCTGTTTTGTTTTAGTTAAAAGAGAATATCAACAGCATCATGGAGGCTGTAAGTAATATGTTAAAAATGGCCAGTGTATTGGTGTTCGAAAATTCCTCCAGTCAAGTGGAACAGAATGCATTTATCCAATATGTCAAGAAAAATACGGCCAGTGTTCTTCAGAACGACCCTCAGGGCGTCAACGGGTCTACCTTGACTGTCGCCACAGTTGAAACAGAAGACAATGATGAAATTATAGACAGCAATGTAAGTAAGACAAAGTGCAGCCATAATTATAGAGAACTGTGAGGCTATGTATGACCAAGTGAGCCTTTGGTCACAGAGAACTGTGAGGCTATGTATGAACAAGTGAGCCTTTGATCACAGAGAACTGTGAGGTTATGTATGACCAAGCGAGCCTTTGATCATAGAGAACCGTGAGGCTATGTATGACCAAGCGAGCCTTTGATCATAGAGAACAGTGTTGCTATGAATGACCTAGTGAGCCTTTGATCACAGAGAGCAGTGTGGCTATGAATGACCAAGCGAGCCTTTGGTCATACAGAACAGTGTGGCTATGAATGACCAAGTGAGCCTTTGATCATAGAGAGCTGTGAGGCTATGTATGACCAAGTGAGCCTTTGGTCACAGAGAACTGTGAGGCTATGTATGAACAAGTGAGCCTTTGATCACAGAGAACTGTGAGGCTATGTATGCCCAAGCGAGCCTTTGATCATAGAGAACCGTGAGGCTATGTATGACCAAGCGAGCCTTTGATCATAGAGAACAGTGTTGCTATGAATGACCTAGTGAGCCTTTGATCACAGAGAACAGTGTGGCTATGAATGACCAAGCGAGCCTTTGGTCATACAGAACAGTGTGGCTATGAATGACCAAGTGAGCCTTTGATCATAGAGAGCTGTGAGGCTATGTATGACCAAGTGAGCCTTTGATCACAGAGAACTGTGAGGCTATGTATGACCGAGTGAGCCTTTGATCAAAGAGAACTGTGTGAGGCTATGTATGACCAAGTGAGCCTTTGATCACAGAGAACTGTGAGGCTATGTATGACCAAGTGAGCCTTTGATCACAGAGAACTGTGAGGCTATGTATGACCGAGTGAGCCTTTGATCAAAGAGAATAGTGTGGCTATTTTTTGACGGAAGTTAAAGAACACCCGATTCTTTCTTATGACTGTATTTAATATGCTATGGCAAATTAAGAATAGTAATATGAAAGAATCAGGTGTTCTTTAATTTCTTTTAAGTGACTTGAGTGACTGAAAGAATGACGTCCAAATCAACTTTTACGACTTAGGGAAACGTACATGTTTCACCCTCTTTGTGTGATTAAGAAATCCAGCAAGAATTTATTACATTCTGATACACGAAGTACCGTGAAACCTCGTTTCGCTGGATCCCGTTAATCCGGAGCCTTTACAAATCAGGACAAAAGTAGATATTTATGTCGAGTCTCATCTGTTGAAGAAGAACATGCACAATGTCTAGTTTCACCATCAAAGTTGTAGTAGAGGTAGCTGAGGGTTTTGAACACGGTTGAGTGAGTGAGTGAGTGGGTGGGTGTGGTGTAACGCCGTTTAAAGAAATATTCCAGTACCTCGACGGCAGCGGACGCCAGAAATAGGATTTACACATTGTACCAATGAAGGGAGTCAAACCCGGGCATTCGGCGTGACAAACGAACTCTTAACCCCTAGACTACCCTACCGGCCGTTTTGAAATAGGGAACATGAAGATATACAAACAGTATGCAGGACCAATGGTTCGTTTAATCCGGAAATTTGTAAATCTGGACGATGTGATATGCAACGGTAGTGTCTTGATTACCGGGTTTCATGTTGCACGTTTATTTACGATTTCACATTACATTTGCAGTTGATAGTCCTGAAGGAGAACCCCTTTGTCGTAGGAGGGAATGCTAAGCTGGTGGAACACCGAGTGACAGTGGCTAGCATGACGAGAAAGGATGGCAAGAAACTGAGACTCCGAGGGGCAGTGACCACACAGGATGATCCCGAAGACCCGCCCTTTGAGTATTTTGATGAACCAAAGTTTACACCCAATGATCCTGCAAAAATGCTATACCACCGGTTTGCTTACAGATCAGTGTCTGAACAAGTCTGCATTCGTATCATTCCAATGAATGATTCGGTTTGTTATGACGAATATCTCAGGGCAAGTCTGCGGCCGACGATTTCGGTGTATGATCACCATGCCAAGAACATCACTGGCCACCGCGAGTATTGTGCCCCGGCAGGATCCTGCACGAAAACAGGCCTATGCTGGCTCGGGATCAGACCCTTCTTGTGTCAAGGTTTCAATTTGATATTTATCTCATATTTTTACCAACCGTGCTAGTCATCCCTTTATAAATCTCTGTGCTTACTATTTCCCAATCATCAAACGTCTAATAGTGGCTTTAGAAGTGGCTTAGTTTTAGAGACACCAGTATAACCAAATACTAGTAATGTAGTGTGGTCAGAAATGATGATCTACCACTATTGTTAATGAAAACCCATGATGACATTCAAGAAAATGATGGCGTTTGGACTGAAATTTCTTACGCCTATTCCGAGCATGTTTACATGTGTGTTCTGAAACGAAACAACCAGATGGATGTGGAATAGAATGTTCCTGCGTGGACAACGGGCAACCATGTACTGCGGTCTGTGACTGCACATCCTTGGTAGATGAAGATAAATTGTTCTGTGCCAATCTTTCTGCATTAGATAGTGACACATCCGAGTCTGACCCAGAGTAAAACACCTTCACTTAGAAATCAGGATTAATACTTTTTTGGCTATAGCATGCCCTTGTTTCTTACGTTCAATATCAGACACAAGGATGGTTCACATGTGATTGTTGTGATTGACATACTGTGCAATAGATTTAACATGGTTTCTCGATCAAGATGGCACTTATATGTGATGTTGTGTATGAAGCAAGGAACGGGGAATGGAACACTGCTTGTTTGGAACATTGACATTTGTGGCTGACCAATCCATTTGTCTTATTTTGCTAATTAAATATCTGAACATAGATTACAAATGTTTTAGATTTTTCTGATTTGTTTAATTAATATAATATATATTGCTTACTGATCATTGCACTGGTAGGATCATCTGCTGCTTCATGAGTAAACCCAATAAATCATGTAATCAAATGCACTTACAACGGTAATCTGAAACATAGGCAAAAGGAACCATCATTTCACAACATGGCATCATGGGTTTTCAGAATCAGAAATAACAGGGCATCACATTTTACCACACGAGAAAATGTGGTAATTCTGGTTTGGGTTCCCACTCAATGGGTGATCCCTACTGCTCCTGTGTTTGACTTTCCCGATGACGTTTCCAGTCTGGCTCAAGGCAGGCAGTGAGAGACGTGCCACAAACGGATATATTGGTTAAAGATATATAAAGTTAGCAACATTTATAAACTTTAATCAGAAGGCTGCAGCGTGTTTAAACGATTCGAAACAAAACTGCTATAATTTCCTGTAACCACGCACTTTAACTAAAGACGAGACACATCTCCCAATGTTTATTCCACAATGTACTTTACATTCCAAAACGCTAAATTTGTACTTGTTTTGTTTTGTTCTTTCTGAAGAACCCGAGCTTCCAGAACTTAGCCGGCAAAGGCGAGAGGCAGCCGTCAATGATACAAGCGTCACAAACACCATCAATAATACCATCGTCACAAACACTATCACTGGTACAAGCGTCACAAACGCCATCAATGATACCGCGATGCTCCTCACGCCATACTCTCTCCGGATCCTGAATATAGCCTGCCTCAGCTGGAAGGGATCAGACTGGGATGCTGCTGAGTGTACAGTTAGTACTGATTTATGACAGATATAAGCACGAATCGGGTCGCTGTGCCTGTGTTTGTGCTCCGCCGTAACATATAGGTAGTGAGTGTAGCTGGCAAAATATATATATTAAGTCATCTTGGAGGTGAGATCAAGGGCGCCGCCCATAATCTAATAAACAACATATAGTTTGATAGTTAGATACGTTGCTGCGTGAACCATTGTAACAGCACGTGCGGTGGCAGAGTTATCTTAACTGTACATGGGGTCAATATCGATTGATTTAAAATAATGTCCGTCTGTGGCAGCGGCAGTTGATCTGCGGGTAGATTCCAATCTTCCGGAACTGGTATCCGTATCGAGATGTTTCTGGCAATCTAAAAGGTGTACTTCACTGTTTAAAATCTACACGTGCTACATAATGCTACTGTTTCCGGAAGTCACATAACTCTGATTTCCACCTTACTTATGTCAGTGAGAGGGTGAGTGAATGTTTGTAGGGAGCGCGATTAACGCTCTGCGACCATGCTTATAAATTCAATGTTACATAATTATATATTGTACAAGACGTTTAATTACGTTCTCATTGATGATTTGTTCATATTTTAAATACACCCTTCATGGACTGATGTTTGTCACGTATTTTAATATTAAGAAAATTATTCTATTCACCTTGCATGTTATTCTATATACATGAGGGGTATTAAAAGTAAGAGCTACTGGTTGTAACATTCCTTAAATCAGGCTGTCTGATGTTCAGTTATCTTTTGAATCACGGTGCTCTCCCTTTAGTCAGCTACATCGTATGATGGAGAACAAAGTGACTCTGCGATGCGGATAATGAAAGTGCGTCAGTTTGAATACAACTAACTGTTAGTGAGGCGGTCGGGTAGCCTAGTGGTTAAAGCGTTCGCTCGTCACGAATCCCGATATGGGTAAAATGTGTGAAGCCGATTTCCGGTGTTCCTCTACTCACTCACTCACTAACTGTCAGTGTCAATCCAACAGGTTAAACGAGACCCTGATAACAAGAAGACCATGTGTATGTGCGGTGACAAGGAAGAACTCATCACCACCGTTTCCTTCCACCTCGCCCCGAACGTCATCGACTTTAACACTGTCTTCAGCAAGTTCGACATCAATGGCCAAGGTGCCGTTCTGGGTACAGTTCTTGTCTGCTTCGTGCTCTTCGTGATCTTCCTGTTCTGGGCACGGTACATGGATGGGCAGGATGTGCTCCAGGTAACACACGTAACATACTTCCCGTCGTTGATTTGGTCAGGATAGTTCAGGGGGATTTCCCTAGCCAGAGATAGGATTCACCGGTCGTTACTGTAACAAACTGTAACAAACCATAAAAGGGCCTCTCAATGAATGAAACAAATAGTTGGACCTGATCAGAGCGTAATAACTTTTATTGAACCACAGAGTTTTCTGAACAATTTCTGTTTTCAAGAATAAAATACAACATTCAAGACAGTATTCCATGGCAGAATGTCAGTCGACGCCACATTTTCGGATATCTTTCTTGTCACCGGCATAAAAAAACTAACATTTTAAGGGCGGCGGATCAGTACTCCAAGTGAACACAGTGTAAGGCCTGACTGCCTTTATGTCTATTGTATATACTTTTGTAGATATGCATAGTTCCTCGTGTATATTTCAGTGGGGCGTGACATTGTTGGCTGACAACCACAAGTGCGATAGCTACTTCTACCTCATTACCGTCCACACTGGGATGGTCAGAGGGGCCGGTACAAAGTCCAACATACATTTCTGTATTGCTGGTGAAGACAATGACACGGGCGTTAGGATACTTTCAGACGGCGTAAGAAAGGTTGGTTTTGAAAAAAAGTCTAACGGTACACAGATATTATGTAGCTTGAGCAATAATCACATCATGGATGGTATTATGTTGCAGTGTTGAGTTTACAAAAATGTTGCATGTTTAAACAGATGTAATGAATATGTCGCAGTCCTTTGAACATAGTGAACACTACTTTTGTTCAACAACAATAGGCAAAGCATGACATATTTAAAATTTGGTGTTCCCGTCCTTAAACACCTTAATCATAGGTCAGTGCTCAATGGACAGACTGCAAATACATGGAGCTCATCTTTTTCCAATAGATATTTCCGAACAAGACTCTGTAAGATAAATCCTGCTTGCTCTTCACTTATCTTATTTTTAGAAAATGCCAAAATTTATTATTCAAAATACTAGTATAAACTTTACGCAAAGTATTTATTAAGGATACGTCAATAATTTCCTGGGTCAAATTTGGATCTTTTCTCGTGGATATGAGATATTTAAACCCAATTCGATTGAGAACTCACCAGCCAGAAATAAATGATTAAATAGTCTTGCAATATTTTAATGTACATTTCAACATTTCCCCATAATACTATTATCAGTATTTTTTTGATTAATTTTTTTAATAAATTCTTGAAATAACCAAACAATCTAAAATATCTTAATACGATCACAAGATATAGTTCTGAGGAATTATGCCGACAGGATATCAACTTGTCTTGCTGTTGCCTTTGATAAAAAATCTTTTTCTTTTTAAATTTATTCTAAAAAAATATTTTTTTGTTAAATAAATAATTGTATCATTCTCAAATTGTGTGTATTTCTCCCAGAATACAAACATTACCCTTGTCATATTACCAGCAACTGATCAGTAAATATCATTTAACATTTATATTTAAATTAAAATAGTTTCCCAATAAATTACTAGGTTCTTCATATTCCACACAAACTCTTTCATAAAACATGCTTAGAAATGATTCCTGCTCTTGCCGTCTCAACTTACACTTCACCGAGGGTTCAAATAGGTATACGGGGCGGTCGGGTAGCCTAGTGGTTAAAGCGTTCGCTCGTCACGCCGAAAACGTTCGATTCCCGACATGGGTACAACTTGTGAAGCACATTTCTGGTGTCCCCCGCCGTGATATTGCTGGAATATTGCTAAAAGCGGCGTAAAACCATACTCATTCACTCACTCAAATAGGTATACACCAAAGAAATATCATGATATTTATCAACAGACGTTTATTTCATATGAGTCATATGATGCAACACACTTATTGTCTCCCCTTGCCAGTCTCATTCAATCACCGAGCTTTCTTCGAGCATTTCAAACAAGAGCCTAAAATCTTAATGACTCTCGCTGTATCTTTTGTGTCCTCTATATAGTGTAGGAATAATGGTTAGACTACCTTAGAAGGAAAGATTAACAAACAAAGATGTGGCTACACCTTAGCCCATTTCTACCCGGACCACCCCAGCGATCCGCCTATTTAGTGTTTTTCTTTTGTGTTCGATTTGCCACACATTTCTGCCCCTCTCCAGGTTTGCCGAGGCAACATGTCTTGTGGAATGTCTTGCATATTCACTGCAATGCTGCTGCCAAACCACGAAGGTTATCTGTCTGTCTGGTACACGGCGTACACGTCAAACAATTTCATCCCACACATGCTCTATTGGGGAGAGATTCTGTGAATTTGCTGGCCAAGGCAGCACTTGAACATTGTGCTGTTGAAGAAAATCAATAGCAACCCTAGTCTTGTGAGGACGGGCATTATCCTGATTTTGAAGAAACAGAATTGACAATGGTCCGAGAATCTGATTCTTGTAGCCCACACCTGTCAAATTACCCTGAACTACAACTAAAGGGGTTCTCTGACGTGCATTATCCCACTACGGAACCACCCCAAAGTGATTCCTCTCCATGCCACAGGCTTAAGCATGACGCTCCGTGGACACGTTGACGTCCATCACAATGGGAAATGTTAAATCCGGACTCGTCTGTAAAAACAACAGTCCCTCACGACAACTGAGGTTGACGGACGTGATTTCGGCACCACCTTTGACGGTATGACCTTGGGTCAGGATAGGTCGTATGGCGGGACGACGTCGTCTTAATCATGAAATGACGTAAGCGGTTCCTGACTGTGTCGGGATGGATGCGACGAAGTCTGGAATGATCTGAGCAGTGGCCACTGCAGTCACCTGTGCCGAAGATGGGTCAACCGTATCCATCTGTCTATCTTGACGTTGTGATGCGTGGACATCCTGCACGTTGGTGATCCGCAACTTCATTATTGTTGTGATAACGTCTCAACACTACTGAAATGGTGTTTCGGTGGCAATGGAAATCGAGGCATCCCCCTACTGACCAATAGCCGCATGAGCTATGCTGTCGTGAATCATGGCTCAATTTTTTAAACAATAAAACATCAAACAATTGAGCTCCCAAATTGACAGCAGTTTTTGACATCCATGTGCTCGATGCAGTTTATCGAGATACACGTGCACAAACGTGTAGGTTTAATACAATTAAAAAATTACTGTTTTTACATCTATATTTTGTGTACACATGCAGTTCCAGTATAAATTTTGGTTTACTATGTGCACAGTTTCTTTTTGTGATTAATGAAAACGTGGTAATAGGTTCACGGCTTTATTACCATCAGCTAATTGTATCAATAGGGGACACTATAAAGGATCAAAAACCCAATTCACACTGACAACGATCACTGATTAATTAAATCTGAGCAAATACACAAGAGTGAGTGAGTGATATTGGTTTAACGCCGCTTTTAACAGTATTCCAGTTATATCACGGCGTATCAGCTTAATGTGGGAGGAAAGCCCGAAGAGATGTAGGTCTCAGACGTTTACAACTTCGGTGAAACCCACGAGCACGGGTATGGTGCTGACAAACCTAGAAATATAATCGGGGCGAACCGGGGTTCGAACTACACAAGAGGATTAGCAAAGCAACTGTATAACCATATTAAGATGAGAGTCGCTAAAACAACAATTTGACAAGATATTGACAAGATGCATAGGCAGCCAATTAAGTCGGCTGCGCGAACAGCCAAATGGTAGATATTTGTCAAAGTAGAAATTATGGTTGAATTGTTTGCCTAAAAGGTATAAGTCATCTGGTTTTATAGGCATAAGGTGAAATTCTGACTTTATGTCAAAGGTTGCCATGTTGCACTGTTGCCTGTTTCTTGTATCAAGGTTAGCACCTGGGCAAAGCTAGTGTACTTGACAGTTGACACATCGTGTGATATGTAGTCGTTTACAGACTCTCCCACAGAATACGACAGATGTGAATAAGTCTGAAATGTTTGCTGACCTTTTTCATTGTTTTGATTTGTTGACTTTTCGGAGCGAGTCCGTTTGAAGAAACTAGTATATCATGAAATGGTGGTGATGTAAATGTAACTGCGATTATACCCAGATCAATATCTTTTCGCAACATTGTTGCCACAATGTTTGGAAGCCATTTTATGCCATTCTTAGACACGATGGACCCGTATACTGTCGCGGGAAACCCATCTTCCCGAGGCAAGAGAGTTAACTGACTTTAAAAGTCCAGTTTCCACCCTTGCCGAACTAGGCTGGAATTACTGGGCTCGATCGTAGCGCCACCAGTGGCTATTACCAGTTATGTCCCTTCTAAGCCTCTCCTAAGGACCAATCAGATTCCACCTCTCGTATCACTTGCGTTTGTTTCACACAAAATGGTGGCTCCCGGTCAGGACGATCTGATCGATAATCAAGATCTATATTGTGATAAAACGGGCCTTACATCTCGAAATGCATCAAATCACGTGAGCACCTTGATTAAAAACATAAAAAGATTTGGAAAATATCTGGTGACAACGAGTTGGCGGTGGACATGCTTTGCAAATCCTGTAATCGACCGAAATCTGCATGACAGTTAACGAACCGGATTTTGATTTCGTTGCTCGATTTTGATTGGACTATGCATAGACTCGTTAGGCAAGCCAAAATGTAACTCCATAATACTAGCCTAGTTCGGCAAGGGTGGAAACTGGACTTTTATAGTCCTTGCCTTGGGAAGATGCGGGAAACCTGAGAAAAAAACTTTTGATAAAAACATAGCATCTGCGGTGTGGAAAATAATGTAACTACTGATCTGATGTGACAAGACACACATTCAAATGGACGCTGGTGCTTTGCCTTGTGTTGTTTTCATTGGTATGCGTTTGAAGAGGAGCGGTTGGAACGCACCCCTTTTGATAAAAGCATGAGAGCGCTGTGTGTTGGGCTGTTACGTGTGAAGCATTTGTGTGAATATTGGCAGATAGTCCTTCGACATCCGGTTTGTTTGTTAAAATCCCAGCAGAACTTTGGGACAGTAACCGCAGTTGCGCTGAATGTAAAATGTCAGAAACTCCACCATTACAAAGTCTGGGGTCTACATTTATACATCTGCCTGTGTCGCGGACCATCCCTGTGTAAGACAAGATATTTATACATCAGCTTTTTATTCAATTATATGTCATTTTGAATGTTTTTGTCTGATACTCGCCTACTGATAATGCCTTATTGTGAATCTGAGTAAGGTAGAGGTATTTTTATCTTGATTCTCGATGGACTACCTGTTGCAAATTGTTATGAACACCAAGCTATTGATAATCGTCAGTTCTCGCATGGTGTCCATTGTGGTCTTCAGTATTAACTTGGTGGGAGTTATCTCCCATGCCGGAAAGCATGCTGTATTACCATTAAAGAAGTAGAAGTCTTTCAATTAGCCTACATCCAGAGTTTATGTGTGTAGTTAATGTAAGGGTAACGATATTTTGCAGGGCATTATCATTTGTAGAGCCCGAGGTCTTCCATTAACTGCCCGACTGCAAATGATAATGCCCTGAAAAAGAGCGTTACCGTTATTGTAGCTAAAATGGAAGGAATTTGTTATCAAATAAATAAAAACAATAATATCGGTTTTGAAATATTTCCTGCAATCAACACAAATGTCACTGACCAACGTTTACAAATATGGAAACGCCATAGAACAAACCAGATGACGTCACTATTGAACGTGACATCGCCTATCCCTACCCTATGACGTCACCTAACAACGGGCGTGATAATGGCCCGTCGTCAAGCAATATGAGGGCATTATCAAGTTACAGTGGCCCGCTGATTTCTGATAACATGCGGGCAGTTTAACGACAATTCTATCTATTTTAGCTATAAAAGAACCCAAAAGATATTACACTACTGATAAACCTGAATGAATATGATCATGTATGAGTCGCACCCCACATTTTGCAAGAGTAGAGTGCTATGCCACACAAATTAAACTAGATGTCAAACATTTTGTAGGCTGGGCATGGTTGATGCATGTCATCAATCCCAATTGCGTGGATCGATGTTCGTGATGTCTATCACCGGATTGTCAGGTCCAGATCCGATTATTTACAGACCGCCGTCATATAGCTGGAATATTGCTGAGTTCTGCGTAAAACAACAAACCAACAAACCAACTATGTATGTGCTATTTTATGTTGGACAGTAGAACATCATAATTTTCAGGCAGCGATTTGTAAGAATCTTGACATGATTTGGGCGGGCTCGTCCGCTCGTCACGCCGAAGACCCGGGTTCGATTCCCGACATGGGTACAATGTGTGAAGCCCATTTCTGGTGTACCCCGTCGTGATATTGTTGGAATATTGCTTAAAGCGGCGTAAAACCATACTCACTCACTCACTTGACATGATTTTTAAAAAAATATTAGAATGTCATTGTAACGATTTCGTTAGGGAACCTGAGGCAGAGAAGAAATTCTTAATCGTATACACAAAGAAACAGATCAGCAATAGGAGAGTACAAATGTGTCCATGGAGATGCCTACTTCATATCCCAAAATTTCACATGGATGTATTTCAGTACAGTATTACACTTGAGCATTTTGGGGAGAACATCTTATCTAGGTCAGGCCAGCAGGTGATAATCGAGGCTGGTTATTCTCTGGCTTTGAGGTGAGGTGAGGTGAAATTGGGTTTAACGTCGCGTCCAAGATTATTGCACTTATATAGCGACGTGCATGCACGTGCGTGTGTGTGGCTGCTTGTACTAGTCGGGACTGATGCCGATTTATAGTGCTAGCTCACTGAGTGAGTGAGTGAGTGAGTATGGTTTTACGCCGCTTTTAGCAATATTCCAGCAATATCACGGCGGGGGACACCAGAAATGGGCTTCACACATTGTGCCCATGTCGGGAATCGAACCCGGGTCTTCGGCGTGACGAGCGAACGCTTTAACCACTAGGCTACCCGACCGCCCCTCTAGCTCACTGAGATACCATGCCGCAGTTTAACATGAATACCCCACTCAGACACAGTATACTGACTCCGAGCCGACCAGTCCTTGTTTTAGCCCCTTAATGTCGAGCGCCAGAAAGGGTAACAACAAGTACCATCTATTAACGTCTTTTGGTATGACGCGGCCGGGGATCGAACCCCGGACTTTCCGCTCTCCGGGCGGACGCTCTACCACAAGACCACGGAGGCGGCCTCTGGCTTTGACGTCTTATATATATATCTTCTTCCCAAGTTTTCCTGAACAAAGTCACAGATTAATTATATATGAAACATTATCCGTAAACCGTTGTTATTTGAATGTGGTATGCCGTCAGGAACTGAAAACTGGGAGCACGATGCACTTCCTGATGGCTGTTCCTGAGGGCCTTGGCTTACTACAATACTTCCGGGTGTGGCATGACAGAATAGGGGATTCAACATCCTGGTACCTCAACAGGATCGAGGTCACCGATCTCCAAACGGCTTACAAGTAAGATTCATCACTGTTAGAGTCATCAGAAAATGTTGAAAAAGGTTTCATACACGGTGCCAGTGGAGCATGACATCTGAACGGCATTGTTGTTTTATTACTCGGTTTCCGAATGTGCTTCCCACAAAACCATTGGGTCGGTGGTCGAAATAAAAAGAATATCAGGCCTACCATAGATAGCCAGCAGAGAACTACCAAACTATGGAATAGGTACACATTTTGAAAGAAGCAGGTACACAAACTACAAATAAAGACACAGTGTCCACAAAGTTAGCAACAGAATTATAAGAACCAGGCACATTTTCAATGTAACCAAAAATAGTGTTTGGTTTCATTGAAAATGTGCCGGATTCTCATCATTACTAGCATTTTCGAACGGCCATTTCTTTTTAAAGTGTGTACACATTCCATATTTTGGTAGCTCTCTGCTGGTTTTCTTTGGTAGGCATAAAATAATATTCTAAAACCCGTTGTTATCAATAAGTGGTTCCTTAAAGTATATATGGTTACTGGAAATTAAGAAAATATTATATGAAAAATATACATATTTGGTTGATATGTCAGTTTTACGTCACACGCCTTTTAAACAGAAATAATGTTCAAAGAGGCATAACATCAAAGCCACTCACTCTTGTTTCTTGTTGGACATATGACCTTTAACCAATTGATATGTATTGATTAGTAATGTTAAATAGTTTACATTCAGATTAATCTCAATCAAAGCATTGTCAAAGTTATATATTTATTCCACACATATTTTCAGATCGGTGGATATGCAAATAAAGTAATATAAAACAGACGCTATATCAATGATACATATCAGCTGTGATCAATTACTAGTACATGTATATGCATCCTTTAACAGAGCGGACTTCCTTTGCTACCAATGGCTGTCTCTAGAAGAAGGAGTACTAGAAAAGGCTATACCAGTATCCTCCACAGAAAACATGAAGACCTTCAAGACCATGTTCTTCGAGCACGCACGTCACCATGTGACCGATGACCACCTGTGGGTGTCTGTCCTCCTCCGACCAATTAAGAGTCATTTCAGTCGAGGTCAGAGAGTCGGGTGTTGCTTCACTTTGCTTATGTTGACAATGATCACAAACGCCATGTTCTTTAAAACAAACAGTGTAAAACGACACCAAACGTCGGATTTTAAAATTGGCCCAATCAGTTTCAGTCTGAGGCAGATATACGTCTCGTTTGCTTCAACCATCATCGTAGCTGTCCCAGTCTTCTTTATCATGCTCCTGTTTAGAAAGTCAAAACTAAGCGAAAAGGCCACAAAGGATGCAACCAGACTATGGATACCCCACTGCTTCCGGAACTTCAACTTCTACAAACAATCCAAGGCCATTGAAAAAATCATGGCCATCAGGGACATCGTTGATGACCAAGATGGTGTCCTGCCTCACTTTTGCGTGTACATCTCCTGGGTATTTGCTTTCATCTGTGTCTTCTTATCAGCCTTCTTCATAATGTTGTACAGCATGGAGTGGGGCAAGGACATTTCAGAAGAATGGCTGATGACCTTTATCATGTCTTTCTTCGAATCGCTCATCATTTTGGACCCTGTGAAGGTTAGTAGTTTGAGGGTAATCACTGTCTCTGCATGAGGTGCCATTAGCTATTATTTGACACAACCAATACCAGATGATGGGGTAAACGTGGTAGGATGCGGTCCTGAGGTCATGCGTACAGCGCACAGGGCACAACTCTATTTGGATGACCGTGTTCGGCAAACTTGACCCTGAGGTTTTCTGGGGCTCAGGGTCTGCTTGGCACCGAAACACATGCTACATATGCTGTCTCTTTAGGCATGTGACTTTATTCGAAATATGCCTACACGTATTTTATCCAAGTAGTGAATGGATAACCGGGAGGATGAGTTGGTCACGACCAAACCTCCAAACGACAGCGTGGGGTGCATACACCCTAGGGAGCCGAGAATATAGTTGGTGTGCACTCTGATCAACTGGCCGGGATTATTATGTAGCATTTTGAGCATACATAGGGTGTGAATTAGGAGATAAACATACTGTGTTTTCAATGTAGAGCTAGGTTACCTGTAGATTTAACCCAGCTAAATTGAATTTGGAACCGAACGCGCAGCGTGAGGTTTCAAATGTTAAATTTAGCGCGGTTAAATCTACAGGTAACCTAGCTCTACATTGAAAACACAGTATGTTTATCTCCATTCTACCATGACTAAATAAAATGCGAATTCTTTGGTGTTAGCAAATATACTGAGTGAAGCGGCATGGTATGAGTCCAGTGTTTTGAGTGGGTTATCGATCTGAATTACGGAATCACCAAACAAAATATGGTGCCGTATATACTCCAGCAGTTTGTTTACACCGTAATACTTCAATCGAACATATGACAGGCATTGAAAGCATATAAGCACGGCAACTTGGTAAGCTAACATGAGGTGGGCATCCCTAAAGAAAACAAAGCAAGCTTTGCAAGGCTTTCGCACTACATCGCGCGTCACCATTATGACGACATATCGCTCATTGTGACGCAAAAGATATGACGTCACAGTCGTATATAGAAAAGCGCCAAAATTCCAAGCTCTCTGTTGTCTCCAAAACGTAAATACATTCCCTTTGTTGACTTCTGTCGTGTTTTTCTGCACGAAATGTATTGCCACACATCCATTGAATATTGTAGTAACCGCATCTGTGCATTTTGTAACCGTAATTGTAGAAATAATTATATAAAAATGCCTACCGACAATGACTGAAAATAGTACTATTCTATGAATTTTAGCTTCCGCGGTGATGCGGCCGTCAAACCAGCTGTTTAAATCAGAGGTTTTTTTTGTGATTTAATAGCCTCTGATTGACCAATCAGAATCGAGTAAATTCCAAATTCATGGTAGAATATTCGTTTTGACTTTCGTTTGTAGGTTCTTGTGCTGGCGATTATGTTTGCCATGTTGCTGAAGACACTGAAGGCAAGCAAACCATCTCAGATTGACCTCAACCATATTGGCAGGATGAACAGAGAGATGGGCCAGCATGGAACAGGTGCTGTATTCCTTGCAAATGTACCTTCATGAACATATTATTGTATTAATGAAGGTTGGGTGCTCCTCTGGGTCCCGTTCCTCAAAGCAATCGTAGCTACAATCAATATCAGGGAGTTACGTCGATTTAAAGTCGTCTTAGCTAATATTTATGCCCATTCCAAGTCTTAAGGCGATTGTAACTTTACAAGTTCTTAAGCTGAATCTTCAGTCATGATATGCTGTTTCCCTTAGAGTGCCCTTCGTTTAGCAGACGACGCATGCAAATGCTTGGTTGCTGGTGTAATAGATGGAGGGATTGCTTCTAACAGTTTCATGAGGGTGTGGCGAGGCATACGATACGGCGCATGTAGTTCATCTTCATATAGCGTATCCAGCTGGCGGATGCGGTATCTAAAACCCGTTATTTAATACACGATCCATTTTCATCATTATAGAAGTCTTTGTTGTTTGGTTCAACTTAAAATCAGATTTAGCGATCTAAGTTGGTCCTGAGCAACTGATCATTTGGATATTAACTTACAACTCTCTTATTTAAGATTGCTTTGTGGAAGTGCAGTCGTTCAAACAAAAATATAAGATCGCGTACCCAGTGAGTTACAATCAACTAAGATCACTTTGTGGAAGGAGGCCCTGGACAGTCTTTCAAGGGGTCAAAGTCGCTGTCCCAAATGCGAAGATTGATGCTCATGACGTCAATTTATACAGACCGCTATCATATTGTCGAGTGCGACGTAAAAAAAGAAGCTATCGCTTATCAATCTTATCAGTACTTCAGGTGCATCAGAAGGTCTCATCATGTGGGAGCATACCCCGGGAGGTGCAGATCATAGTCATTAACAGTAATTGAATTATTCATTTTCTGTTGTTGTTTTGTACAAATGTATAATACCCTTCCTGTTTTTGGGCCCAAGACTTGTATCAAAACAACATGTTGTGTAAACAAACAAGATTATGATTCACTCGATGAAATATATAATTATCATATTGAATCCATTACAATTAATTTTCTTTGAACTCAACTGTAAAGTAACTGTTTGATTGGCATCCTAGAAGTTGGTGAGTGAGTAAGAAATAGCTTTATAGTTTATTGCATTGAGCGACGTTTCAATGTAGATTCTTACTCCAGCTTGATAATGGTCTAAGAATCAACATCGCATCGTCGCTAAATGCAATAAAGCAGAAGTTGTTGTCCTTAAAGTTGTGCGTGTTCCTATACACATTGTAAAGGTCTGCATGTATTCACATGCACAGATCGGTCTCGGCTCGACTACGAAAGTCCTTTCTCACAAGAAGAACTCCAACGTGCGACGATGCAATGTCGGCGCCGGACCATGATCAGGAAGGTGATTCAGGAACTGCTCGCTAACAGTTTCTTCCTCTGGCTTCTCGCCAGCATCAGCTACAGCAACAGAGACCCCCACGGATTCCATCTCCATCAGAACATCAAGAACACCTTCATAGAGCCCTTCAAACCGGCTATTACATTGGAACGTGTATGTTGAATTCGACTGATGCAGATCTAACCATATCAAATTTGGCATCCAATACCGTGAAACCTCGTTAACTAAAGTTCATTTAATTGCTTTAACTTTATGATCCCAACAAAATTCATTTTGATGAATGGTCGCTTTAATATACTATTATTGACTTAAGTTGAATTTGCTTCAGTTAAAGTGTCTCTTTAATTTATCGCTAATAAAGTTATGCCCAGATAATCTGTAGACTGGATCATGGATCATATAGTCAGAGAGTCATCAGCTCAGTCAAACTATTGTTGGAACGTCAAATCAAAAGGGACGTTATGAACAATGGATGACGTCATCGAAAAGCAGTTGCGCCAAAGCATTAATATGCTAAGGACCGCTTCGCAAACATTTGAAACAATTGAACCATAGGCAATAGTTCATTTGCCAATAAGCGTGAAGAATATTATATATTAAAATTTCTCTGTGAGACTTTTCGAAAATATGTTTCGATGTCCGTGCTCCGTATAAGGTTCTTTTTGTCTTTGTACAGGTGAATACAACCGCGCATTACTTCCAATGGCTCGAGAAAACTGTTATCCCCAATCTCTTCCCTCAGATGGATTTTGATAATAAAACAAAACTATCTCCGAACATGCGATATAGGATTTCGGATCTGACGAACCTACGGATAGGAGCACCTCGACTGCGCCAAGTGAGACAGGCAAACAGTAAGTAGCTACCGTGTGTGTAATATAGGGAGTGAACATAGGACAGTTAAACTCATACAGTGGGAGAAATATCACATTTAACCAAACAGCTGACTGAGTGGGTTTGAGTGGATATTATTTTTATGTAGAGATTCAAATAACCAAAATTCAGCAAAGAGGGTTTGGGTGATCCTGGCACGGTCAGGCTGGTTAGGCTCTTTATCAGCTCAGGGCTCTACACGCAGCCCAGCCAGCGAATGGGAATTCTCCCAGGAAGCGCTGCCCAGTCAAACCCACCATGAACTTTTCGGAGAATGTGAAGACACATCAACACTGCAGACTTCTGCGTTACCCAGATAATCAGAATTGCTGTATTCCTGGCAGCAAACGCGGGTAGTCTCCCAATGTCAGTTATCAGATAAGGAGGTACCATACCTAAGGCATCGAGAACAATGGGGTGTCGGACAACTTGGTACTTGGGATGCAAGATGACATTTCGAAAGCGAGGTCCGCATATTTGCCATGTTTTCCCTGAATCTTGTTAATCACATTTGTGTCCAAAGGGACAGAAAATTCAATGATATGAATGATTTCATTGGATTTATCAAAAACGACAAGATCAGGTCTGTTGGCCTGATATGTCTGTGGCTGTATACGGGCCTCTTCCAAAGAACTTTGTATTTATCATTTTCCATGACGCCCTCTACATAATCTGGGTCGTACCATTAAGGAAGTCTGTGTCAAAACAAACAAGCATGGCGAAGACGGTAATAAAATGATCGAGCCACTCCCACATGTCACTTAAAATACTGTGTTTGTGCCAAAGCTTCACCCAAGCGAAGGAATCTGCAGGGTTGCTGATCCTCTCAACACACTGCACATAAACTCGATGCAGTAGTCGTTTAGATAGCCTCTCCTTGAAAAGCTTGAGTCTCGGCCGATTTGATATGGCACTTCGCTTGGTTGACACTCATTCTGTTCAGTAAAGAACCATCAACAAAATCATTATTATTATTATCGTCATTATCATCACTATCACCATCATCATTATCGTGTCGTAAATGCATAATGGCGTCGAGCGGGGACCCTACTACATTTACCTAAACGTATTGTCGTTCCGTGTTGTCATGGTAAGTTAAGCCATGACTTTGCCGCTCGCAGGGTCAGCCTCGGGTCATCTAAGTCAAGGAGTGTTATAGTTCGGATAGTTATATCCAGTTATATTTTGTCATGCATAAATGTTTCAGTGTACCCCCCACTTTACATTGAAAGTGCAGTTTTGCCAATGGTGCATATGACTATGATGCTTTCAGAGTTTTATGTATGTATGTATGTATGTATGTGTGTGTGTGTGTGTGTGTGTGTGTGTGTGTGTGTGTGTGTGTGTGTGTGTGTGTGTGTGTGTGTCTCTCTCTCTCTCTCTCTCTCTCTCTGTGTATGTATGATATGATGTAATGTTTATGGAACGTCACTTATGTGTCACTACACAATTGCCGATTTGCGTTACCAAACGGAGAGGCGGACACAACATAACTTATTAATATAAAGTCTTGCACCGACAATTGGTTTCTCTGACTTGTTATGCTAGAGGGGTGTACGGGATTTTACGAAATTCCGTACCACCGCTTTTGATATTTTTATTACTCAAATATTTTCGTCCGTCGTCTTTCAGAAACTTGCAAAATACCATACGTTGGCGAAACTCTGTGTCACCCTATGTATGACCTGGCTACAGAAGAAACTAGGAACTGGTGCCAAGGCTGGCAGCCACCTAAGTGTCCCAACGAGGAAGCTGTTTCTGTCACCAGCAATGCATGGACGTTTGTTTCAGCCTTAGACATCTGGGGCCTTCCCATCACAGGCAAGAGGACAGTCTACGGCGGAGGAGGTTACATAGTTGAACTGGATATTACCAAAGAAGTTGCTGAACAGGTATACAATAACATATATAAATACCGGTGGGTTGATAGTGATACTAGAGCTGTATTCTTGGAATTCACACTGTACAACCCAAGCATAAGCCTCTTTTGCTACGTCTCGATACTTGTCGAGTACCCTGAGAGTGGAGGGGTCCTCGAGTCAACATACATATTTCCGTTTAGAAAGCTCAGCCACGACGGAAGCTTTGGAAAGTACATTCTCTTCTGTGAAGTCGCGTTCATCATATTCACGATGATATGGCTGGGGTACATCACATTCAAGCTTATGAAAGACCGATGGAGCTTCTTCAAAGAGTTTTGGAACGTTGTCGAGCTGGTCAGTGTCATCTTCTCATTCGTGGCTGTTGTTCTGTACTTAACTCGTCTCAAATACACCAACGAAGCCATGGCCTTGTTGAAAGAAAACAAACGCGTCTTCATCAACTTCTACCACATCGCAGTATGGGACAGTATCTTAAACTGTGTCCTTGGTTTCCTGGTTAGCATAGCAACACTCCGGCTGCTGAGAGTCATGAGCTATACAAGAGTCACACAAATTGTATTCCTTGTTTTGAAGGAGAGTTCAAAGACACTGCCAGGCTTCTTCTTCTACATCCTCCTTGTCCTGTTTGCGTTTGGCATTATGGGGCAAGTCATGTTCGGCGCAAACGCAGTTGCCTACAAAGATATGCTCACCACCATGGAAACCCTCTTTTCCGGTGTGCTTGGAAACGCAGGCCTTCGAAACACCAACGTTCCTGTCAGCGATTCCTGGATATCACTCGTCTACTTCGTGTCCTTTGTCCTTATCGTCTTCTTTGGCCTGTCCAACATGTTTATAACAATTCTACTGGACACTATGTCCCTGATCGGTGACGACCCCAAGAACCTGACTTTCAAGGAAATTGAACTGTTCGCTTACATGTGGGAGTCTCTTAAGACTCGCATCAAGGGGAAGGACACATCCAAACAACTACCCGACCCAGTGTTGACCAATACACAACAGCCAGCTATGGACTTTAGAGACGGTAGGCGATTTTAATCATTTGTATAAGAAATACATTATGAATATGCGGTTGTCAACATACATCCTGTAAATAACCTCACTTAGCTCACAAGAACCATGATTAATTCAGTCACGTGGATTTGGTTTTGAAAGGAATATAAACTTTGAAATTCTATTCATGAAATCTATTCGTCCTCCAGTTGTGTATACACAAACACATTGTTAAAGATGAACCATTTAATGACATTGGTGGACACTGGTAGTTGGTGAACTTATACTTAAACACATATTACAACAACAGATTAATTGCTCTGAATAATATTCATGGCTTTGTGTGGGGGCGGTCGGGTAGCCTAGTGGTTAAAGCGTTCGTTCGTCATGCCGAAGACCCGGGTTCGATTCCCGACATGGGTACAATGTGTAAAGTCCATTTCTGGTGTCCCCCCGCCGTGATATTGCTGAAATATTGCTAAAAGCGGCGTAAAACCATACTCACTCACTCTCACCCTTACATACACGTGAGATTCATTGTGGAGGTCGAAAGAAGGTCATTTGAGTGATTTTCAAACTCATCATACAGCGATCTATATTATCAAATTGTCCAGTGTAATGAATATATTGATATGTATTTTCCCTCTGTAATGTTGTTACACTTGTACATGATGGTGTAAAACCAGACTCACTCACTACACTCACTCACTCACTCATGGCTTTGTGATTTTGGTTATTCTGTTATTCTGTGTAAATATCATAATATTATCCAAATGTAAGTTGCCAATTATGTTTAGTTTTGAAGGATGTACCCGCCCCAATCAATAGTATTGCATTCGCAGATCAAACGCTCTAGATTTCATTCTTACTGTATTTGTGTTTTTCAGTATGGCCACAAAATGAACATGAACTTGAAGGACGCACTTGCTGCAAGAGCTCAACCAGTCAACATGACCTGAATGGGACCTTGATAAAGAAAAACGAAAGCGAAAGCGAAATCTAAGTGATAATTACTCTTTAGTTATATTTAGACATGATAGAGATTGCATCTGGACTAAAGGGGTTAATTTGAAATATAAACATTGATGGAGCAGTGGTACTATTGATGAAAATCGTTATTTGGCAAACGTGACAAAATAGCTCGGAAGATGATCATATTAACACTGTTGGTGCAGTTCTGTATCCGCCATTAACACGCGAAGATTAAGGTCGAGATTAGTATTTTTATACGTGTGATACGTTTCTTTTCTACAAAAAATAAATCCTTTCCGTAATCGTAAGAAAGTCTTGTACGACTATATCATTAGCATGTGTTAACAAATCATTATCAAATAGTATACAAGTATATTATCTATTTGCAATGCTAATGTAAGTCTTAGTCGTGTATATACACTAAAAATACAGACTTCAGAGAAATTTTACTCAAGATTCCATGTGTGTTAATAACTGGATTTCTTTTGCTCCACCTGACATGAACATCCTTTGAAAGTGTATATGATCTAGGAGCGTGTAGATGAAATATATCCCTGCAATGTATTTACAATTTGTGTGAATTACATAGATGTGGTTATTAAGAGTTAATATTGGTGGTGTTAACAGCTCGCGTGTCAAACATAGGCACCTCAGAGACCTTAACGATGAACATATGTTTGTAATCTTACCCATAGTCCAGACAAATACGCTTTAAATTCCCCCTTCCATCAGCATTACGATATGTTGTTTGAGAGAGGTCCACATGTGCACACTCAGATGCACCTACAACACTGTAAGCTTCATGGTAGGGCCATCGGCGCAAGAGTTATCCCTCCTGTGATAATACTGTAAGTTATATATTTTTATTATACACCATGCACATGTGTGATGTAATGTCTTTATATTTAGAAGTTACATATTGTGTTTTTCCATGTTAATAAACGGGGGGTTACGTAACCCATCGTCTATTGTGACAGCCCCAGTGATATCTAAATGGTTTAATTGCAACAAGCAACATGCACCTATAGTTTGAAAAGGAAACCAACATTAAGACTTTAGGCTAATATTCAGAAATCTACTCCCAATTGAGAGTCCAGGGAATTTGTTTTGTTCAAACGCTTGACAGCAAAGAATAAGTAGTTCTCTAAAAGGTTTTATTTCAAAAGCGCGTTTTTATGACACCACTTTGGACGGCAGTGATTATACAATACTGGAATAAACATTTGTCATCGGAGAGGAACATAATTCAACATTCTGGTTACATTAGTCGATATTTATACCTTTAAATGTTCACGACTGAAGTGTAATGATATACAGGTTCTAGATATTGACGAGAAATATTACAGGTTAGCTCGAGAGAATGATGTTTTTAATATATTTTATAAGAGGATTTTATGTTTAATCACAGATTTTATTGCTTTTATGCTGTTGATGGTTTTGTGTTTTTCCTAATATATACAACGATGGCTGTCACGACGGGGCTTAAAAGAAAGCCCTGATTGATAGTTAAAGAAGTGCACATATCATTGTCTTTTAAAATCAATTTGTTGAAAAGCTGTTTTCGTTTGTGGATTCGCTTTTGGAGATTCTTTAATTATGATTTATGAAGATAAGATCTAGACGAAAAATATCTTTACCATGATATTGAAAAGTTTAATTTGAAGACTCATCTCTCAATTTTACAGTTTTGCCCGGACTACAGTCTTAATTCAAAGTCATTGACATTTTGTGTGACATAATTAGATGTGGTTGTTAAGTGTTCATATTTTAGAGGCTAATATTGTATGTATCCAACTTACGTACTCTACACATAAAGAAATGGACCATGAGTCCTTAAGGACGAAAACTATGTTTTGGTAAATAATCCATGCCATTCTGAAGAGAGCCCTATTAAATTCACCTTTCCATATTTGAGAGAAGTACACACAATCAACTGCACGTACATCACTGTAAGCTCCAGAAACAGGGCCATCGGCGCAAGAGTTAGCCCTCTTTTGATAATACGATTAGTCCTATATATTGTATAGAACATGCACATGTGTGACGCAATGTCTGTTTATTTAGAAGTTACATATTGTGTTTTCCATGTTAATATACGGGATATTACGTAACCTGTCGTGTATGGTCACAACCCCGGTGATATCTAAATGATTTAATTGCAACAAGCAACATGTGGTCATAGTTTCAGGAAGGTAATCAAAATTAAGTCGTCAGGCTACTACTCGGAAACATTAGTCTCAACAGAGAGTCCTCTGGTTCAAAAGCTTGTCAGTATGGAGCAGTTCCCTGAATATTTCATTTCGGAAGCGCGTCTTTTGTTACACCCAATTTGACGACAGTTATTATACAAACTTCAATAAACATTTCAATTGTCAATCGGAAGGAACATAATTCAACATTCTGGTTACATTTGTCGATTTTTTACATTTATCTGTTTCCGACTGAAGTGTTAAATTAAATACAAGTTGAAGATATTGACGTGAAATATTACAGTTTAGGTGGTAGGAATGATATTTACAATATATTTTTGATAAAAGGAGGAGGGGGGGGTTATTTTATTCATTGAAACATTTTGTTGATGTTGTTGATGTTTTTGTTGTTGTTGTTTTCTTTATATGTACAATGCTGGCTGTTACTTCAGGGCATCAAAACCCTGACTGTTTATTTATTATATGTTCGTATCATAATCTATTAAAATAAGTTTGTTGAAAAGCCTTTTACTGCTTTCATTTGTTTTAATATAGATTTTTGTCACTCTAAATATTTACGCATAGATCTAAATATGAAACAGGTGAAGTGGTTTCACTGGGTGCATGGCTGTAAGGGAATTGCCCAAGAAGACGTTCTCTACTCCTTCATGAAACTGTTCACATCTATTGATCATGTAGTGATCTGGTTCCTGTGGCTATTTAGGGACGTTACATTGTTTGACATTCCTACTCACTTTCATTATTCCTTCATGCAACGAAATACTGAAAATTAGTGAGTGAATGAATGAGTTGGGTTTAACGCCGCTTTTAACAGTATTCCAGTCATATCACGGCGTGTCAGCTTAATGTGTGAGGAAAGCCCGAAGTGATGCAGGTCTTAGACGTTTACCACTTCGGTGAAACCCACAGGCACGGGTATGGTGCTGACAAACCTAGAAACATAATCGGGGCGAACCGGGATTCGAACCCACAACCATAGGTTTCTGGCGTGCCCAAGGGACGCAACTCTGCACAGCGAATCGCGGCGCCTTAGACGACTGGGCCACCCGTGCCCCGAAAATTAGTGAGGACACCAGGCGTTCACGAAAAGGGTAAGCATGTCCTTCCCTACCGGTAGCACCCGCCACTCACACAATTTGCATAATAAAGTAAAGGTCTCTTTGTTACTTGGCGGCGCCCGACGGCGACCAGTACTCAAACCAAATAATACAGTGATGGACCATACAGAAAATCAAGATATATATGGCACATTTACTAAAACTAAATTTATTATTTGGTAAAACTGAAGACGATATGTTAATATTGAATTACGCCTTCTGTGTACAAGTTCAGAGATTATGCTGTTTATAAAGAAAAGAACTGCGTTCGTTTTGCAGTGAAGTCTGTTTTAATGTCTCGGCCCAAACATTTATTTCGTATCTGACTCGGCACAGTTGATAAATGCTACTCAGCTTTTGGTGAAACTAGAGGACTTCAGTCCACCAAGAGAAACATCGACCCTGTAGAGGTAAATACAGAACGTAAATGCATGATTCCATTGGGCGTAAAAACAATTAGCGGAGAAGATAATAGGAATGGATCACTGAAAATGAGTGATGACACCATGTGTTCAAGAAAAGGGCAAGCATGTCCTGCCCTACCTGTTGTTTTTCACCACTCACCTAATTTACATAGAAAAGTAGGCATTCGTGGTTTGCCTGATGCCGCACAACATGCTATTCCAAGACAACTATATAAGGTAATAACAACGAGTATTCGGCGCGTGCGTTGGAGAAACGCGTAACGTTGACAATGATTATTTGCATGTTGCTATATGTAAGGGGTTGATGTTCGGTTCCCGGTAGGAAGTGACAAAATGCAATCTATAGCTTACGGTATATATACAAGTTTGCTTCATACAAATACAGACCGCCTCCGTGGTCTAGTGGTAGAGCGTCCACCCGGAGAGCGGAAGGTCCGGGGTTCGATCCCCGGCCGCGTCATACCAAAAGACGTTAATAGATGGTACTTGTTACCCTGTCTGGCGCTCGGCATTAAGGGGCTAAAACAAGGACTGGTCGGCTCGGAGTCAGTATACTGGGGTGGGGTATTCATGTTAAACTGCGGCATGGTATCTCAGTGGGCTAGCACTATCAATCGGCATCAGTCCGGACTAGTACAAGCAGCCACACACACACACACACACACACACACACACACACACACACACACACACACATACGTGCATGCACGTCGCTATATAAGTGCAATAATCCTGGACGCGACGTTAAACACCATTTGACCTCACCTCATACAAATACATATATATACAAAAAGCACAAGTGCCATGTCAGCACATAGTGGTAGTTGTGTTGGTGTGTTGTTCTGTTGGTGCCCCTGAGCAACTGGGATGAGACCTTCCTATTTGTCGCTTCTGGACCAAGGCTTATGTATCCAATGACCAAGGTCCATATGACAAGGATTAAGTCATAAATGTATACAACGGTAATAAAAAAGAAGAGACATAGTTGCACAGCTCGTTCAGGAAGACTTACAGTTAATGTACAACACAATGGGAATTCTACCATCAATTTTGAATTAACTCGATTCTGATTGGTCAGTCAGAGGCTATTCAATCACAATAAACCCCCTCTGATTGAAACAGCTGGTTTGACGGCCGCATCACCACGGAAGCTAATATTACAAAGGTTACAAAATGCACAGATGCGGTTACTACAATATTCAATGGATGTGTGGCAATACATTTCGTGGAGAAAACACAATAGGAATCTACAAAGGGAAGGAATTAACGTTTTGGAGACAACGGAGAGCTTGGAATTTTGGCGCTTTTCTATATACCACTGTGACGTCATATCTTTTGCGTCACAATGAGCGATATGACATCATAATGGTGACGCGCGATGTGGAGCGAAAGCCTTGCAAAGCTTGCTTTGTTTTCTTTAGGGATGCCCACCTCATGTTAGCTTACCAAGTTGCCCTGCTTATATGCTTTCAATGCCTGTCATATGTTCGAGTGAAGTATTACATGTAAACAAACTGCTTGAGTTTTTACAGCGCCATATTTTGTTCGGTGATTCCGTAATTCATATCGATAATCCACTCAAAACAGTGGACTCATACCATGCCGCTCAAATCAGTATATTTGCTGACACCAAAGAGTTCGGGTTTTATTTAGTCATGGTAGAATGGAGATAAACATACTGTGTTTTCTGTGGTCTCACACTGCGCGTTCGGTTCCAAATTCAATTTAGCGGGGTTAAATCTACAGGTAACCTCGCTCTACATTGAAAACACAGTATGTTTATCTCATAATTAACATCTTATTGATAATTGCAATTTAGTGATTCTAGACGTATACAAGTCATAACTACAGGGTGATGAGCATTTAGAATTAAATGACCATGAATCAAATCGGTCAAAATGACATTAATGTAGAAACAGTGAATATCATAATAAGATTTTCACAACACATAAACGGTAAGGAAAATCAATATGCAGAATGCAAAGAGTATTCGCTACACCGCGGGCCAAGCGCTGACCCGCCTGGCGATAGTTGTAACGGGTCCTATTACCTTATCGCTATCATGGGCAAACACAATTCATTATAGGCCAAACAGAAAGTCCCAGGTGATACAGAATTTGGCAATATCAAAGTGGTAGATGTCATGGCATAAGACATTGGTATTGAAGTATCCGCGTGTTTTAATTGACGTCATGTTGAATTAATTTGGGACACAACCATCAATTATTTAACAAAACTGTGATTGGTTTAAGAAACGAAAAAAAGAAAAGACGAAGTTTGCATTCGAGATCAAGTTCCATACAATAAAATACGATTATTGCAGAATGTACCATTTGTAGGATGTGTCGCATCCCATATATTATTAAAACACTTTGTCCCCGAGGAATGCTACACTTCGCTGCCTGAAAAGAATGTGTTTCTATGAATGTGATAACCCGGGAAGATCCGGGGTAGAATAGGTCAACCCATGATTGCTGTTAAAGGCGACTATGCTTGTCGTAAGAGGCGACTAACGGGATCGGGTGGCCAGGCTCGCTGACTTGGTTGATGCATGTCATTGATCCCAATTGCGTGGATCGATGCTCATGATATCAATCACTGGACTGTCTGTTCCAGACTCAATTATTTACAGACCGCCGTCATACAGCTGGAACTTTGCTGAGTGCGGCGTTAAACAACAAACCAACCAACTAACTATGTATGTGCTATTTTATGTTGGTCATTAGAACATCATACTTTTCAGGCAGCGATTTGTAAAAACTTGACATGATTTGGGCGGTCGGGTAGCCTAGTGGTTAAAGCGTCCGCTCGTCACGCCGAAGACCCGGGTTCGATTACCGACATGGGTACAATGTGTGAAGCCCATTTGTGGTGTCCCCCGCCGTGATATTGCTGGAATATTACTAAAAGCGGCGTAAAACCATACTCACTCACTCATTTACTCACTTGACATGATTTCAAAGCATTTATTAGAATGTCATTGTAACGATATCGTTAGGGAACCTGAGGCAGGTTAATTCTAATTCTCACATTATTCAAATATCTTTTGCATTTTTATAAGTGCCAACGAGGGACACAACCAGCGCATATGATCTGCACAACGGAGTATTAATAATAGTTTTACCTTTTCCAACGATCCACCTGAGAACTCTTCCCAGAATTCGGTTTCCAAGACAACAGAGAAAATCGATAGTTTTAGTGGTGTCATAGACTGAAGAAATATGATACCGGCCTCTGTCTTAAAAGCAAACGAAATCGGTCCAAGATCATGAATAAATTAATATTTTCAAATTGTTTATTCATGGCAAAACTCAGTAGATATGAAGACTGATCAATATCATAACCATTTCAGGTTAATATACAGTAAATTCAAGGGCTTGCATACGACCTTCCATCACCTATATTTTTGTTTTAGAATTTCAGAACATAAACCAAAAACCGTCAAATTTCAATGCGTTTTTTAACTTTATCAGACACAAGTATCTGACGCTCAGACCTCACACAATATAGATAAATAGCACATAAAAAATATGCTTCAGGCTGTTGAAAAAAGGAAATGGTCTGCCACAAGAACAACAACATTCTTGCAAGGAGTTTTTCTTAAACAAATATTCGGACTCATAGTTTGTATTTTAAAATATCTGGTTTAGCAGCTGTAACTGAAAAACATATCTAGGCTAACAAAGGGTCGGCCCCTTATAGTTTTTGGGTTGGATGCTGTTCACATTATTCAATAGATCATTCTGTTTGAACCATAGACAAAACATTAACGTGCATTATACCACTCATGGAAAGCAGTTTTAAAAGAGTTTAACAGAGTTCAATTCGCGAGTAGAAATGAAATTGATAACTAGTCTAAATAATTAATACACAACGACAAGATTAGACTGACTACTGAAAACGAGGCAGAACTACGTGCGATTGGGAAAGTGTAGACACCTTTCTCGTACCGCCATTTTGGATATTTGAATTTGAAGACCTACAT